ACTAATCTGATCTGTCTCTACAAAAAAGTACAAAAACAGCAGTTATACAAGTCATAGGTGTTTTAATTATATTTTTTTTTCTTCAGGTTGTGGTGAAAATATAAATCTGTCTAACACATCCTCTTTTATCATCACGCCATTCTATGGGAAATGGCGACCACGTGATGCTTTCTGCAAATGGCACGTGACCTCACATTTCAGTTTTCTTTTACATGTTATTGACGTTCAATTTCCTCAATCAAATTTGAGTAGATGTGATCATGTGACTGGCCAATGTAACCACGTGACTAACAGATGTGATGGCTTAACACTGGAAATTTCCAACAATGATGAAATTTGTGACCAGCAGGAAGTTATGAAAACTTACATCATTCATGAAAAAGAGGCTGATATTTCTCTGACAGCTCGAAACAACAACGACGAGATTAAGTTATTCCTTAAGATTAGTAGCAGTGGTACGTTTTTCTTGTTTTCTCTTAAATTGTTTGTGTAGGGGTTATGGTGTATTCCTTGTCAGTTGTCTTTTATTCTTTTAACCATGATGTTTTCTGTTTATCTTCGACGTGACATGGTTTTTTTTTATTCCCACTTGGTATTTCCTTTCCCTCTTTATAACCCCCTATGTATGTATTTGTTGTATAACGATGAATGTTACACAAATATGATTCAATTTACAAGTCAGAAAGACTAGGACACACTTTTAAGAACATTTCGAAGCCTTGTCGGAACATGTAAAATTCAGAAAAAAGGGTTCAACGCGAGCGATAGTGTGAGATCTGCAAATAAAAAAATCCATGTGACATTATGATCAAGAACAAATGCATAAGACCCAATAGAAAAGTTAGACATCAGATAAAAATAAGGTGATGCGGTATGATTGCCCATGATACAACTGTCCATCAAAGTCCAAATGATGTGGTTATTACTAACTATAGGTCACTGTATGGCCTTAAACTATGAGAAAATCTATACCGTATAGTCAGTAGTTCATTACAGAAACCATTCAAAAAATTTGCACTTGAGGTTTCCATAATACGCGAAAATGCACATGCAAGAATATTTATATCAGACAACATGTAGTGACTGTTTACATTTTTTAACTTCAGAACTGATGGATACTACTTCCTCATCAATGACAAAACAATCAGTTTTAACGTCAGGTGAGGTTTTTAATTAATTGAGTTTTTACCAGTTCTACTAAGGTCTTTCACTGTCATATAAAACAATTCCATGTACGCGGAAAGTTTAATAACACACGCGAGCATTAGAAGAGACATCGGAAACAGGAAGAAATATAAACTATTTGAAGCATATCAAATTCTATATTAGTTGACCAGAATTCACAGCTAGATTAAGGGGAAGATTTAAGGTAATTGGCGAAGTAGATCGGTATATGCAAAAACAATTTTATCAATCCTTATTAAGAACTCATAAATACATGAAATACGAAACACAAATAAAATCATATGCGTTATGAAAATAGTTGACCGAAAATTAAAACAAGAGTGCACACGCTGAAATGTCTCGCCTGCTTTACTGACCATTGATTTTATGTTGAAAGTCTTAAAGATAAAGCTTTAATTAAAAACATCACAGAAATTCAGGTCAGATAAATGCTGTCAGGCAGACATATACACCTTACATTTTTTCTATATACCATATATAGTTGACCTATTGCTTATGATAATTGAAAAAATGACCAAAACCAAAAAAAACTGAACATTGACCAATGAACCATGAAAATGAGGTCAAGGTCAGATGATACCTGCCAGACAGACATATACACCTTAAAACAATTCCAAACACCAAATATAGTTGACCTTTTGCTAAAAGTACTTGAAAAACAGACCAAAAAACAAAAACTTAACATTGACCAATGAACCATGAAAAAGAGGTCAAGGTCAGATGGTACCTGCCAGACAGACATATACACCTTACAACCATTCCATACACCAAATATAGTTGACCTATTGCTTATAGTACTTTAAAAACAGACCAAACCTCAAAAACTTAACATTGACCAATTCACCATGAAAATGAGGTCAAGGTCAGATAAAACCTGCCAGACAGACATATACCCATTACAGTCATTCCATACACCACATATAGCTGACCAACTGCTTATAGTATTTGAGAAGCGGACCTAACCACGTAACTTTATCCTTGATCACTGATCCATGACATGAGGTCGAGGTCAGGTGAACCCTGTCTGACGGACATGTAGACATTGCAATGAACCCATATGCCAAATATGGTTATCCTATTACTCATAATAAGTGAGAAATTCACATGACAAAAAAACTCAAGATTTTTTTTCATGTAGTCGCTGAAACATGAAAATGAAGTCAAAGACATTGGACATATTACAGACAGAAACTTCGTAACATAAGGTATCTGCATACAAGATATGAAGCATCCAGGTCTTCTACCTTCTAAAATATATAGCTTCAAACAAATAGTTTACGTCGCTGCCGCCAGATAGCAATACCTAAGTCTCGCATACTCGCATTAAGAACTCATAAATACATGAAATACGAAACACAAAAGGCGAGACAAAAAACTAATAATTGATATTATTGACAGTAGTAAATTCTTTTTACAATTGGATTGTGTTTAAAAATGCTGTAAATCAACCAAAATGGCTGATGTAGTAAATAAAAACTTTAGCGAGTTGAATAAAAAACGTAGGTAAATTAAACTAAAGGAATGAGGGCGTTTAGATTATACTGAGTATATGGATCCTAATTTGAAGTACTTTTTTCAGAATGACTTAAATGCAGATTTGACCCGAAAGATATGGAACATAGATATACGAACAAGAGGCTTAAAATAACGTACTGCGATGAACGTTGTTTGTTGGGCATTTACAGATACGTGTGCTATAAAATCATTTCCTTGCACACAACACGTGTTTCTGGCATAACCTTCATCAGGTTCACTCGAGATCAAACGTTTGGAAAGCAAAATGTACAAAACTTTTCAGAGCATAAGGGAACGGCCATTAAATTCTGAAGGGGGTGTGTTTAAAAAATTGAAGAAAACAAAATTCGATGAGAGTTTTTAACATTTAATGAATATTAAGTTCTTAGAAAAACAAATTTGATGATTGCGTGTTACGAACACAAAGGTCAAAATAAAACAGGAACATATACACTCCCCACTCAAATTTAAATGGTTGTTACCTAAAAAGTTTTAAACAAACCGGTTAAGGTCAACTTCTCCTGGGAGAAAGAAAGATCAATACAACGACTGCTATTTTTCATAGAATTATTTAAATCTTCATTTAAGGAAGAAAATCTTGTTGAAATGAAGTAAAGATATAGATATTGTTTTTCTATTTCAGGTAGCAGTCAGCAGTTTCCCCAATATGTTTATGTTATTCTCATTGGTTATTTGTCATATTGCTACCAAGATTTTAGGAAAGATGCGAATGAAATTTAACAGATTTTCAATAATCTAACAACAACACCAATTTCCAAAATGACAATAAATATCAGTTTCATTTCTCAAATTAATGTTGTTAACAAGCTGGAAGTAGGTGTCTGACAATTTGATGTCCATGCTCTCGTCAGATAAAGATCAGCCTGAGGTCAGATAGAAAATCTCAGAAACATAGAAATGAATTTGTTTTTGTTATCTATGATCACCAGACATTGTAAAAATTCATCAAAGATTCCAGGCTTGTACTTAAAATTCGTAAATCACTATGTGATCCGTGTAAACTCATCGAACCCTTAAACAAACTTATTAGTAAAGGTTATCTTATTAATGTTGTAATAAGATCTTTGAATATTGTTTACATTGGCACTAACATCGATTTAGTCATCAACAAATTAAAACAGAACTAAATTTGTATTCTTTTAGAATGGTTTTTGATATATATAAATACACATCAACGTCAATTTTCTATTTAGAGATTGCTGTATTTATATATAACATGATAAATATTTATTATAAGGTTAAATGCTAACGATCCTACTGCCTGTCGATACTTTTATTTTGGCATTGCACAAGTCATGTCTTCTTTTACTGACCATGGATTTAAAACACTAAATCCCTGGGATGTGTTTTAATTGATTTTAGTCTCTGATGCATGATTTTTTATTCTTAATTGTTTTTGGCTTTTAGTAATTGCGAGTACTCTCAAATCGTACTTTCATGTTAATTTGACCTATTGACACAATTTGTAATGCATTTCTGTAATTCAATGTTTACTTATTTTGTGTAATATCTCTTCTCACTGTTTTAATGTGTACCCCCTTGTGGTTAAAACGTTTAAACCCGCTGCATTTGTATGCACCTGTCCTAAGTCAGGAGCCTGTTGTTCAGTGGTTGTCGTTTGTTGTAGTTCATAGATGTTTCTTGTTCCTCATGTTTTATATAGATTGACTGTTGGTTTTCCTGTTTGAATTGTTTTACACCTGTCATTATGGGGCCCTTTATAGCTTGCTGTTCTGTGTGAGCCAATGCTCCGTGTTTAAGGCCATACTTTGACCTATAATTGTTAGCTTTTTATATATTGTGACTTGGATGGAGAGTTGTCTCATTGGCACTCATACCACATCTTCTTATTTATATTATAATTGGTACGCCAGATGCACGTTTAGTCTACATAAGGCTCATCATGGTGCTCATGTTAAAAAAGGTTGGAAGGGCATTTCAAATACGAAGTTGAGTAGCATTATAAACCTAAAATTTTAAAAAGTTGTGCCAAATATCAATCCCTTGTATCAGGAGAAAAATTAAAAGTAAACTAAGCAAAATTTCAAAGTCAATTGACCATGACTGAGGGGCGGGCCATATAATCTGCATGGAAACTAGATTTTTCCATGTTAATACAAATCCATTCCACATTTCATTGACTTACAACTAATGGTTCCCCTGAAACTGACCTAATCACAAACTTATACATTGTTGCTGCTGCCACCAGAAACAGCGCGCCTACGTTTCAATTTTTTGTTAACTTCTTCAAGGCGAGAAAAAAAAAAAATCAAGCACACTACAAATATCCACTATTTTTATTGACATTTTATACGACTCTTTATATTTGTTTATACATAATGAATATTTACAGTGACAACAAAAATGATAAAATCCTTCAAATCAAGTACTGTAAATTCAGAAATTATTGCGTGCATTTATTATTGTGATTTTTGAGGAATGGACAAAAATGTGAGATAAATTGTTGCGATTTCAGAAAAATCTGTAACAGATATATGTGCTAGATTTCAGAATGCCAGGTCTTATTATTGCAATACTCACCCATATATTTATTTATATATTTATTCACATAAATAAAAACCGCACATTAATTTCTGAATTTACAGAAAATGATTTAATTACTTCAGACTGATAAACCTCAAGTTGGCAAAAATTCTCTTTTTTTCTTTCATTTTCAGTTGGGTTTTTTTTAATATTGCAAATGTTGAACAATGGACAAAAATGCAAGATTAAGGAAATTCCATTTTTTTTTTGCTTTTGTTAAAAGTATCCTTTCACAATTTTTGCAATTATAAAAACACAACAGTTAGTTCTGAACTCATTATTTTTTTTTAATATACCTAATTAGCTCTTATAATCCATCCATTCCATTCTGATGAATGTGCAAAAAAAAATTATAGGATTTCCCTGATCTTAATTTCAGTTCAAATTTTGTGACAGAACCATACTATGTGAAAAAGCAATGTTTTCTGATTCTTACAAAAATTGTTCCAAAACTCCAACAAAAAAATTCTTTACCAACTTTCACACCATGCCAGCAAATATAAAATAATCAGAATTTTTCCAAATATGACAATTGTTAACCACCTTACCTTCACCTTCTCAAATTGTTTTTAATGAATATTACAAATATTTCATAGTACATGTACATGTAATTAAAACATATTAGTAAGATTTTCAATATTCTAAACATACATGTATCATAGAAAATCTTAAAATATTTTCTTGTCCATTCTACATCTTAAATCAAAATAAATCATCCACATTTTAAACACTACAGGGACCATCTCAAACACATTTTCTTCACTTAGTCATTCAAACAAAAGTCACATTAATTAATAAATGTTTTGATCAAGGTTTCCATATTTTTAATAGTCCATCTTCTGAGTAAGTCCCCAGTAAATTCTGATGTGGATGATGTGTTATTCCTATTACGTCTTTTTCATGTACCTGTAAAGAAAGACAAAAATTTGAATAATTTGTCATGCAATTTATTGTGTACTCCCTTAAAAATTATCGATATTTTGTGTATTTTGAGTATTTGGGATTGTTGTCTTAAAAAAACATCAACCCCATATACTGAAAACCAACTAATTTTCCCAGAAATTTTATTTCCCCTTTAGACTTTTTCATTTGATTGGGGACTTTCGTTTTGAATTTTCCTTGGAGTTCTGTATTTTTGTTCTTTTACTTTTTTTCTATCAGTTCACTGTAATTCGTTTTTGCAATTTTTGGATTTTCTGAATGTTTTTTTTATAAAGAAAATCCAAGTTTTTCATAAGATTTATGTTCACATAATTTTTACTTCCGAAAGTCATGAACGTTAGTTGGTTCATAGTTCTTTTTTTTTTCCAATTGGCTAATTGATAATATTCTGTATTCACCTAGGGGCCTCGGTGGCTGAGTGGTCTAAGTAGTTACTACTGTAATCACTAGCCATTCAACACTGAGGTTGTGAGTTCGAACCCCGCTCGTGAGGGTGCACTCGACTCCAATCTTAATTGACTAGGATTGTCAGTTTTCCTATCGAAGGTGGGTGGTTTTCTCCGGGCACTTCCTCCACCAATAAAAACTGGCTGCCACGAAATAGCCCAAAAGCGGTGCTTAAAAGTGGCGTTAAAACACCAAAAATCAAAATCAAAAATCAATCTGTATTCACCTTTCCCTTTTTCTAACTCCTCTATATTTTTACTATCTAATGCTATCAAAATCAACCTCTATCAAATCTTTTATACAGTCATGATAAGTGTTTACTTTCAAATCCTCACAGTAACCAGACCATATATGAAGTGGTTTTGTTTAAGTACTGTAAATTCAGAAATTATTGCATGCATTTATTATTGCGATTTTGTCATTTTAGATTTAAATGCGATTTTAATTTTTACGATTTTGAGAAAAATCCTGTTTAGTTCATATAAAATATTTCAAAATGCGAGTTTAAATTATTGCGTTAACAACTCTGTCGCATTTGTCGCAATAATAAAAACCTCGCAATAATTTCTGAATTTACAGTAGTACTAGAGATAAAAATATAAAGATCTTTAAATATATTGAAAACAAAAATCAAAAGAATCAGCTAATAGGCTATAGGTGTCTGACAGATCCAAAAAGTCCTCACACGTTTTAACTCATTGCTGTCTAGATGCTGACAAAATATGAAGTCATTCTTTTCAGTAGTATCTTAGAAATGTGTGACGAAATTATTTGTTGGATGAACAGATGGAAGAACAGACAACAATGTGATTACAAAATGTCCTCCCTTCTCTAAACAAGGTAATAAATTTATACATGACCAAAGTCTTCTCTCACAAAGTTATGTCCATTTGATTTCTAACATACAAACTAAAGGGGAGGGATGTAGTGACTACTTACAGTTAAAGTTCTCTCTAGTTTGCCTGTACTAATACAGAAACAATATAACACCATATCTTCTCCAACACAATAGATCCATTCTCCTCTTGGAGATAACGTACAACAAACAAAATCTCCTCCTTCTCTCTTACCACTGGAAAAACTTCTTACAATCTGGAATTAAAAACCACACATTTGAATTTGATTAATTAAGGTTAGCTTATATGGTTAAAATCATAAAATTTTAAAAATTAATAATCAATATAAGAACATATAAACTAGAGGCTCTAAAGAGCCTGTGTCGCTCACCTTGGTCTATGTGAATATTAAACAAAGGACGCAGATGGATTCATGACAAAATTGTGTTTTGGTGATGGTGATGTGTTTGTACATCTTAATTTACTGAACATTTTTCCTGCTTACAATTATCTCTATCTATAATTAACTTGGCCCAGTAGTTTCAGAGGAGAAGATTTTTGTAAAAGATTACTAAGATTTACGAAAAAATGGTTAAAATTGACTATAAAGGGCAATAACTCCTAAAGGGGTCAACTGACAATTTCGGTCATGTTGACTTATTTGTTGATCTTACTTTGCCGACATTTATCGTTTTTTACAGTTTATCTCTATCTATAATAATATTCAAGATAATAACCAAAAACAGCAAAATTACCTTAAAATTACCAATTCAGGGGCAGCAACCCAACAACGGGTTGTCCGATTCATCTGAAAATTTCAGGGCAGATAGATCTTGACCTGATAAACAATTTTACTTCATGTCAGATTTGCTTTAAATGCTTTGGTTTTTGAGTTAAAAGCCAAAAACTGAATTTTACCCCTATGTTCTATTTTTAGCCGTGGCGGCCATCTTGGTTGGTTGACCAGGTCACGCCACACATTTTTAAAACTAAATAACCAAATGATGATTGTGGCCAAGTTTGGTTTAATTTGGCCCAGTTGTTTCAGAGGAGAAGATTTTTGTAAAAGATTACTAAGATTTACGAAAAATGGTTAAAAATTGACTATAAAGGGCAATTACTCCTAAAGGGGTCAACTGACCATTTCGGTTATATTGACTTATTTGTAAATCTTACTTTGCTGAACATTATTGCTGTTTACAGTTTATCTCTATCTATAATAATATTCAAGATAATAACCAAAAACAGCAAAATTTCCTTAAAATTACCAATTCAGGGGCAGCAACCCAATAACGGGTTGTCCGATTCATCTGAAAATTTCAGGGCAGATAGATCTTGACCTGATGAACAATTTTACCCAATGTCAGATTTGCTTTAAATGCTTTGGTTTTTGAGTTAAAAGCCAAAAACTGAATTTTACCCCTATGTTCTATTTTTAGCCGTGGCGGCCATCTTGGTTGGTTGACCAGGTCACGCCACACATTTTTAAAACTAGATAACCAAATGATGATTGTTGCCAAGTTTGGTTTAATTTGGCCACATAGTTTCAGAGGAGAAGATTTTTGTAAAAGATTACTAAGATTTACGAAAAATTGTTAAAAATTGACTATAAAGGGCAATTACTCCTAAAGGGGTCAACTGACCATTTCAGTCATGTTGACTTATTTGTTAATCTTACTTTGCTGAACATTATTGCTGTTTACAGTTTATCTCTATCTATAATAATATTCAAGATAATAACCAAAAACAGCAAAATTTCCTTAAAATTACCAATTCAGGGGCAGCAACCCAACAACAGGTTGTTCGATTCATCTGAAAATTTTAGGGCAGATAGATCTTGACCTGATAAACAATTTTACTTCATGTCAGATTTGCTCTAAATGCTTTGGTTTTTGAGTTATAAGCCAAAAACTGCATTTTACCCCTATGTTTTATTTTTAGCTGTGGCGGCCATCTTGGTTGGTTGGCCGGGTCACGCCACACATTTTTTAAACTAGATACCCCAATGATGATTGTGGCAAAGTTTGGTTTAATTTGGCCCAGTTGTTTCAGAGGAGAAGATTTTTGTAAAAGATTACTAAGATTTACGAAAAATTGTTAAAAATTGACTATAAAGGGCAATTTCTCCTAAAGGGGTCAACTGACCATTTCGGTTATATTGACTTATTTGTAAATCTTACTTTGCTGAACATTATTGCTGTTTACAGTTTATCTCTATCTATAATAATATTCAAGATAATAACCAAAAACAGCAAAATTTCCTTAAAATTACCAATTCAGGGGCAGCAACCCAATAACGGGTTGTCCGATTCATCTGAAAATTTCAGGGCAGATAGATCTTGACCTGATGAACAATTTTACCCCATGTCAGATTTGCTCTTAATGCTTTGGTTTTTGAGTTTTAAGCTAAAAACTGCATTTTACCCCTATGTTCTATTTTTAGCCGTGGCGGCCATCTTGGTTGGTTGACAGGGTCACGCCACACATTTTTAAAACTAGATACCCCAATGATGATTGTGGCCAAGTTTGGTTAAATTTGGCCCAGTAGTTTCAGAGGAGAAGATTTTTGTAAAAGTTTACGGACGACGGTTGACGGACGACGGACGCAGGACGACGGACGACGGACGCAAAGTGATGAGAAAAGCTCACTTGACCTTTCAGGTCAGGTGAGCTAAAAAGAAGATGTGGTATGATTGCCAAACACACAGAAGCCAAAAAAATTGGAAGGGCTCAAACACCATAAATCAACGGGAGCATTACTAGTAAAACAAATACAGGTTTAAACAAAACAGTCAAAATCAGAACTACTCTGAATAAGATGTGCCTTATATTATTGGAGAAAAAGTTTACTAAAATAAATCTTTTCTGGCAATGATAAATAAACAGTGCCAGTATCTTATATATGAATCATTGATTTATGATTACTGTAAATTCAAAATATTTTCCAGCAATTATTGTAGTGATTGGACAAAAATGTGACATAATTTTTGCAATTTCAGAAAATGCTGCATACAAATGATATTAAAATACAAGGTTTTACTTTTGTGAAACCTATCACGTCACAATTTTTAAGTTCATGGTGCTGTAATTAGCAGTTCCTGAGAAAATTGCTACGAAAATTCATGTGATGGATATACACATGAACAGACAAACAGAGGTTAAACGGTATACTCTCTACTTCTGATCTAGTGTATAAAATTCAATTAACAATGAAATAAAGAAAAACATCATACAGTGGATTCATTATTATTCGTTGGATACCAATTTTCGTGGATTTCATGGGTAAAGGCGAACCATGAATTTAAATGTTCAACGAAATACAAATTTTCTATAGGTGTGTATGCAGACTTGTATTTGTATTATTTGTATTTTTATCCATCTGATGAGTTAAGCCTCTTTCAACTGATTTTTATAGATCGTTCTTATGTTGTACTGTTACACCACTGTCCCAGGTTAGGGTGAGGGTTGGGATCCCGCTAACATGTTTAAGCCCGCCACATTCTGTATGTATGTGCCTGTCCCAAGTAAGGAGCCTGTAATTCAGTTGTTGTCATTTGTTTATGTGTTACATAATTGTTTTTCGTTCATTTTTTGTACATAAATTAGGCCGTTAGTTGTCTCGTTTGAATTGTTTTACATTGTCATTTCAGGGCCTTTTATAGCTGACTGTGCGGTATGGGCTTTGCTCATTGTTGAAGGCCGTACGGTGACCTATAGTTGTTAATTTCTGTGTCATTTGGTCTCTTGTAGAGAGTTGTCTCATTGGCAATCATACCACATCTTCTTTTTTATATTTATCATTACCACGAAATCAAACATCTATGAAAATTCCTTTTTTCTTCTATCCACGAAAAAAAATAAATAAATCCACAGTATGACATCATGTGACATACCTGGCCTTGCATATTCATAATAACAACTGTATTAGATCTGTTGCAGACGACAAACTGTTCTGCATTCCTTGGCAACGGATGTACACTATGAACCGTGGTGTCACTTCCTGCTGTACCGCCAAGAGATTTAAATGTGTTGGAACATTCCGTTGTTTTGAGATTCCATACTTTTATTGTTCCATCTGAACTGGCACTGAAAAATAATTACATTCGGGATGTTTCAAAATGTCTGATGCAAAATTAAAGGGGGTCATCTCAAAGTTCAGTTATTTGTAAAAAATAGTTAAATTGGGATCATAAAGTTCTGTAAGTTGTAAATTTACCAATAGGAAGTCAATTACAAATGGTTTCAAATGGTAGTTTTCTCCTTTTATTCAACTTATTTAATTATTTAATATTGTTTTTGATATAAGAAAAAGAATCATCTACTAGAACTATTTTCAATAGTTTTTAAGCTTAGAGTCACTCAAAATAGAAATTAAATCTATATATAGGAATGGTACCAAACTTTTAAAATTGGCCATTAATGGTCATATAAAGACTTCAATCTTTTTCAGCCATTTGAATCATTAAATAATGTGACCCTTGATCTTATATTTTTATCTTCTGTCATGCCTCAGTATGTCATTTTGGTGATGACTTTCTTTGGGAAACACAGCATTATTTAATTTACAATGATGTGTGACCTTTGCACTCTTTACATTTGACTTTTGACTCACCTCAGTATGTGATGGTTGTCTTGTGTAAACACTGCATCGTTTACAAATGATGTGTGACCTCTAAACTCCTTCAGCAGTTTGCCAGATTTCAAACCATGGATTCTGAAATAGATAGCACTGTTTAGAAACATGTTTACTGAATTGTATCACAATAACCAGTCTCTATTGAAACTTCTAAACAAAATAACTTTGAATGAAAGTTCCAATGTCCCCTGGGTTGCACATATATTATGTATCCAGGGGCAATAACTATAAAAAAAACTCTTTTTTTTATCTTTAAAACTTTTTACAAATGTCTTAAAGAAATAAAGGCTTGAGAACAAAAACAATGCAATTTCCAATTTTATTAATATTTCCAAGGGGCATAACTACTTGAAAAAAAAATTGATCAGCACTGATTTTCAAACTTGTCTAAGGCATTGCTTATTTACACCTTAGATATAAATTTGATAAAAATCTGGCAAAAATTGTACACATGAGAGTTCTTATAATGCAATTTTCCAAACACTTAATACTTCCAAGGGTCATAACTGTTTTAAAAATAATTGATCCGCACCGATTTTCAAAATTGTCCAAAACATTGCTGATTAAACCTATGATATAAGTTTCCTAAACATCTGGCAAGAATTGTACACATGAGAGCACTAACAATGAAACTTTCCATATAATTAATATTTCCAAGGGGCATAACTCTTTTAAAAATAGTTGATTGGCACTGACTTTCGAACTTGTCCAAGATATTACTGATATAAAGCTATGATATAAGTTTTATATAAATCTGGCAAGAATTGTACATGTGAAAGCGCTAACAACAGTGTTCTCCCCAGGATTTTTGGATAGCACCAGGGTAACGCGTGTGGACTGCTTGGTGAAATGATTCATACAATAAGTTGTGTCGCGTCGCGTCGCTTAGCTATATTTCTAGTAACTGTAGTTTTTATGTCTCCTGTTTTGTTTCAATGCTGTGGTACTGTGTTATGTAGACATTGAAAATTATTGGTAAAAAAGAAGTAAATCAATAAACAGTTTGACATGTATACTTTAATATTTTTTAAAAATAAATAAAACATGATACATTACAAAATATTCATCTAAATTTAAAGTTATTAAATCTTTTATAAAATCAATGATCAATAAGAATAAAATATCATTCAAAAGAGAACAAAAATGTTCAATTTAAAAAACTTTCGTATTTCTAGAATGAAAGATGTTGTATTGTGAAAGGATTCCTGTCATAAGGAGATATAAAATTAACAAGAATAAATATTGTATTATTATTTGAACCAGTTTCTTTCTTAAATTTTAATAAAAAGAAATTTTTCATAAATTTCAAAACATTTTGCCTTAGATTTCATGTAAATATTAACTTTTCTTGTCTTTAGTGATAATCAAACATAGATACAGACTTAATACTGCACTGAAATCTAAATCTTTTTTTGTCATGATCCATTTAAAAAGAATTTCTAAATCTATAAATTTATCCTAGTTCTATAGATCTATAAGTAACCCTATTCAATGTCAACAACTAAGACTCCCTATTTTCCCGCCTAAATGACAGGAAGTAGATATAAATAGATTTAACATGTGCTTATGGATAAAATTTGCAAATCACTACTGTTATTCATTAATTATCATATGGATATAGATATCCAGTTTGAAGGTACAGTCATGAATTTTATTTATAAAATAGAATAGATTGCAGTTAATTGTAATAATCTTGGGTATTCTATGTGAACTAACTGGGTCATGTGATCTGTCCCCTTTGAATTACTTGTTGACAGATACTATGATAGTTTGAAACCGGAATATCATACAATATAAACTATGTCAAAATTAAAGATAATTTGGCCATGGTTTAATCAGAGACATATAATACTATTACATAAGTATTGAGAAGTGTATAATGGTCAAGTATACGTAATGAGCCAACTTTATAATGTACAAAATGTGTACCATAGTGTGTACAACTATCGGGTCGACACAGTTTGTGTACAAAGTATTTGCCGACTTGTCAGGTGGTGAGTGAAGCCATAAAAAAGTTATCTACGATCATAAAGTTATGATCTCTTAATTAAAACACAAAAGAATCATTTTACAAGTGTTAATTACATCGATTAAATCCAATCAACAAAGGTTAACCTCATAAAGGTAAATCGATCATGAGGTGTAAACAATCTGAACTGGTTTGAACTGGTCAAATTTCACCTGGAATTTTATACAGCATGGTAAAGATTTAACAAGTCGTTTAAAACTTTACCGATTTTCGATTTTTTAACTAAAAATTTTAGCACCACGGAGAAATATAATACATCGCGGTAAGAACGATACCACCACGGTAAAAAATTATACATCGCGGGCCCTCTGTCCTTTAAGGCCCTGGGGAGAACACTGAACAAGACTGGATGGACAGTTGCAAGGACGGACAGACGCCTGGTATTTCTATGTCCCCCGCAATGCGTCACATGGGGGACAATAAACATACAAACATTTAAAGTGCATTTTACAGTATAACTTTCATGAATACAATAATGAAAAACATGTTAAGCACACTATCATAACCAGGAATGTAGAGCCAAAATGACAGGATAGGAGAAGGTTTTTGAACTGTCAATTATTCCTTTAAAAAATAGATCACTCGCCATTTATCTTTTTATCTAATTTCCCTGTTTTTTTGTTTAATACTGATCACCCCCCCCCCCCCCCCCCCCCTTATTCCCCTTTGAAAGTACTGTATTTACTATATGGAAAATCTTGATTTTAACAACATAATGAAACTCTGTGACTTCTTACCTTATGGCCTGGTCAAATGAACAACTCAGTATTTGACTGTTGTCTTTAGAGAAGTTTACACATGTTATTCCCTTTGTGTGACATCGTTCTATTTTTCGTAGACATTGTCCTGTCAAAATTTTCCAAACCTGAAATTTGTAAAATACATGTTCGTCTACAAAAGAATACTAAATAATTTTTCTAAATAATGAGTTATGCATATCTTTAATTGGTGTCTCATTCTCAATTTCAACATAACTCAAGACAAAAAAAAAACATTTTCCTTTGGTTTTTTTTAGAATTATATTGAACTATCTTTGATGGGTTTCTTTTAGTTTTCTGAAGGAAATTACAAAACACAAGAATGTGAAGAACAAAAAGACAGAAAATAATTTTTTTTTTTTAAAACCCAATAAAATGACTAAAATTTGAATTGTGAACCAATGGAAATAAAGATAACCAAATTGAAATCAATGAAAATACAGAAAATCATAAATGAAAAATTTCAATGAAAAATTGTGAATTCCAAAATCAACCAATACAAAAATTACCTTGAGTTTACCATCCTGTGCTCCTGTGGCTAACATTTCAGCATCTCTACTAAAACACATACATAATACAGCATCGTCCATCATCATAAAATTATCCTGAAATTAAAAAAAAAACCTATAAAAGGATACATATTTAAAACTACAAAACTGGTGAAATTTGAAAACAAGAGAGTCAAAAATAAAATTAAAAATTGTTTGATGTTGCCTACCTACCCACCTAAAAAGCAGCCTACTCAAAAAATTTTATGACACAAATCGTTTCAAATTTTTTTTTTAAAGATTTTTTCCTGCTCTAACGTTGTTTTCTTGTCCAAAACATGTAAATTATGTTGTTGGCAAAAAAAAATAAAATCCCAACCTACCTACCCAACGCTACAAGGCATGGGTAGGCAACATCAAACAAAGAATTTGTTAAGGGTGGCCTCATAAGGAATCTATATAAATTTCTTACACAACTGTTAAATCTCATGCATTCATTTTACTTCTGAAAAACATCTTATTTGGATCGCCACATCTGCTTACCCCTTCCGGAGCACCTGAGATCATCCCTGGTTTTTTTGTAGGGTTCGTGTTGCTCAGACTTTAGTTTTCTATGTTGTGTTTGTTTTGTGTACTGTTGTTTATCTGTTGGTATTTTTCTTTTTTAGACATGGCGTTGTCAATTTATTTAAGATTTTGAGTTTAAATGTCCCTATGGTATTTTTTGCCTCTCTATCACAAAGTGTTATACATTTAACTACTGTATATCACAAACATTTATAAGGTTAAAGTGCAAATTGCACAAATGCAGAATAAAACACCTCAGAGATCAGCCTAGGTTTTTAGTATGGATTCAAATTGCTAAATATTTAGTTTTCTGTGTAATGTCTGGTGAACTGATGTTTGTCTTTTTCTTTTTTTTCAGTTTTGGCCATTATTTTGTTTGTTTTTCTTCCACTCATAGTTTGGCCATTATATTGTTTGTTTTTCTTCCACTCATAGTTTTGACCATTGTATTGTTTTTCTTCCACTCATAGTTTTGGCCATTATATTGTTTGTTTTTCTTCCACTCATAGTTTTGACCATTGTATTGTTTTTCTTCCACTCATAGTTTTGGCCATTATATTGTTTGTTTTTCTTCCACTTATAGTTTTTACCATTGTATTGTTTTTCTCCTACTCATAGTTTTGGCCATTATATTGTTTTTCTTCCACTCATAGTTTTGGCCATTATATTGTTTCTTCCACTCATAGTTTTGGCCATTATATTGTTTTTCTTCCACTCATAGTTTTGGCCATTATTGTTTCTTCCACTCATAGTTTTGGCCATTATATTGTTTGTTTTTCTTCCACTCATAGTTTTGACCATTGTATTGTTTTTCTTCCACTCATAGTTTTGGCCATTATATTGTTTGTTTTTCTTCCACTCATAGTTTTGGCCATTATATTGTTTGTTTTTCTTCCACTCATAGTTTTGGCCATTATATTGTTTGTTTTTCTTCCACTTATAGTTTTTACCATTGTATTGTTTTTCTTCTACTCATAGTTTTGGCCATTATATCTGTATATTGTTTTTCTTCCACTCATAGTTTTGGCCATTATATTGTTTTTCTTCCACTCATAGTTTTGGTCATTATATTGTTTCTTCCACTCATAGTTTTGGCCATTATATTGTTTTTCTTCCACTCATAGTTTTGGCCATTATATTGTTTCTTCCACTCATAGTTTTGGCCATTATATTGTTTTTCTTCCACTCATAGTTTTGGCCATTATATTGTTTCTTCCACTCATAGTTTTTTTTTATTGTCTCCCTGGTATCTTCTTCAAAATCAATAATTGAATTCAGCTCAAATCTATGCTAAGGACATGAAGGACCGTCTTAAATTTGCAGTCAAAAGTTAGCTTTTGCTCAATGTCTACAGTCTCACCCTGACTTAAGGGATGAAATACATCAATAAAAGCACTGATTATTTCTGTTTTAGTTTATCTAGCACATGTATAGCTTTCAAGACCCTCAAGAAAAATATAGCTGTCTAGACCCTCAAGAAAGATATAGATGTCTAGACCCTCATGAAAGATATAGCTGTCTAGGTGTAGTACCACCAAATCATAGTACTTCACAATCGGTTGCATACGAAAAGGGGTCGAAAAAAAATATTCCCTTGAATTTGACAGTTGTAGGAAATTAATTTTTCATTTCATTGCAGTAAAAAATTTCTGAGTCATAAACTTGGGTGTTTCAAAGCACCATTATTTTTTTAATTGGTGTTTCTATAGAATATTTTGGAAACTTGAGATTACATGGTTACTAAAGCTTCTACGCAGGAAAAAAAGGGGTGAAAATTTGATTGGTTAACTTCCAGTGATGATTATTTTCTTATATGCAATGAAATGTGATGTGAAAGTTTGTCTATAGTACTGGACAGGATAAAACTTTACTCATGCCAATTATTTCTTTATTTGAAACAAAGATAAATTTTGCACAATTTTTTGAAAAGTGCAAATTTAACAAAGACTAATAGGGGAAAATCAATGGTGGTATTACATCTCTAGACCCTCATGAAAGATAAAGCTTTCTAGGCCCTCATAAAAGACTTACTTGTGCTTGGTATCTCAAATCTTTTCTGATTTTGCCTGTAGTAAAATTCCAAACTTCTATAAATCCATCTACTGACCCAGTGACCAGATATTGACCATCAGGAGAAAATCTAGCACATTCAATGTGAGCTTTTTGACCAAACTGAAACAAAAAGAAAACTAGATGATATTATTACAATTTATAACCATGTCATGTGGATAATTTTTACTGAATGTTTTGCTCATTTGTGTGATATGTGAATGTGAAAATGTGTGATATTTGAATGTGAAAATGTGTGATATTTGAATTGTGAAAATGTATGATATTTGAATGTGAAAAAGTGTGATATTTGAATGTGAAAATGTGTGATACTTGAATATGAAAATGTGTGATACTTGAATATGAAAATGTGTGATATTTGAATGTGAAAATGTGTGATATTTGAATGTGAAAATGTGTGATATTTGAATGTTAAATGTGCAATACTTTAACATTTTATGTCATAGATGTAATAGTATTTAAAGCAAATAACTGCTCCATTGTCAAGGTTAGTACAATTTTACTTTTACAGATTTGCTCCATAATATAAATTATTTTTACCCTTAATAAAAGTTAAAAATTCGTAAGGGTTCCGCGGAACCCAGTGTCTCGCCTACTTTTTCTGTTAATCGCAGACTCAACAAAAATGAGGAAGTAAATCAATAAAAATATTCCTCTTGATACTATCTTTTGATTGTAAGAAGCTTCTGTCCAAGTTTGGTAAAATTCCAGGATAGTTTATGATTTAAAATAACTGTTTAAAACTTTAACTGCAGACTGAATGTAATGTTAACTGGAAGAAAACAAAATTTCCTTCTAGATACTAGCATTTGATCATAAACAAGCTTCTGTCCAAGTTTGGTACAAATCCAAAATAGTATAAGAAAGTTATTAAAATTTTAAAAACTTTAACCACAGAGTGAATATGTTGTTTCCTGGCATAAATTTACGTCCATTTAAAAGTAAAATACGGAAAAAATTTATTTATTTTTTTTACAAAATTTCCTTCTAGATACTAGCTTTTGATCATAAACAAGCTTCTGTCCAAGATTGGTACAAATCCAAAATAGTATAAGAAAGTTATTAAAATATTAAAAACTTTAACCACAGAGTGAATGTGTTGTTTCCTGGCAGAAAATCTAAGTCCATTTAAAAGTAAAATAAGGAAAAAATGGATTTATTTTTTTACAAAATTTACTTCTAGATACTATCTTATGATCATAAACAAGCTTCTGTCCAAGTTTGGTACAAACCCAGGATAGTTTAAGAAAGTTATTAAAATTTTAAAAACTTTAACCACAGAGTGAATGTAATATTTACCGGCAGAAAAACTAAGTCCATTTATAAGTAAAATACGGAAAAAATGGAATTTTATTTTTACAAAATTTACTTTTGGATACTATCTTATGACCATAAACAAGCTTCTGTCCAAGTTTGGTAGAAATCCAGGATAGTTCAAGAAAGTTATTAAAATTTCAAAAACTTTAACCACAGAGTGAATATTTGTGGACGCCGCCGACGACAACGACGACGCCGCCGACGGAATGTAGGATCGCTATGTCTCGCTTTTTCGACTAAAGTCGAAGGCTCGACAAAAATGTGGTGACCTCTTTTGTAAATCGACTCCACATTGTGGGTTATATATGTTAAACTTAATTTAAATCCCTTAAACACAAATGAATTGAGTAGTTTATCTCAAATAGTTGTAAATGTATAAAAGTTTAACCTTGCTGTTTTTGCTCAGATGTGAAGTTTTCAGACTTTCTTGTTAGATTTGCTCAGTTATGTATAGTATTTTTTCTTTTGTCAGTTTTGTTCTGGCAGGTGTGAATAGTATTTTTTCTAAGTTGTAAACTTTTGCTCAGTTGTGTACTACATTTGTTCTTTATCAGCTCTGTTTTATTTAGTTGCATATGTTACCTAGAAGAAATTCTCAGTGGAAAATTTTTTGGAAGCACATATATGTACCTGTATGCAATAATAGCATTTTTCCTTTACCTTAATAGTTTTGCTCAGCTGTGTTGGATATTTTTCCTCTTCTTGTTCCTTTACCGCAGCTTTTCCTCTGAACACATCTATTGTGGTTCCTTAAAATTTAAATAAGAAAGTTATTGAAATAAGTTGCTCACTAGCAATATTTTTCTTCAAAGCTGACAGTGCAATAATAATAATTAACTTTTTGCTACAGGTTTAGTATTATAATCTGAATTTATGTTCTAAATGCACTTTAGAGCAGACTATGCTTCAATTTGATTGACTAAGTTATTCAATAAAAACATACACAAGACCAAGGAAAAGCATTTCTTTATCTCATCTATGGGTGGGTGTTTTTGCATGTGAAAGAGTAAAAGAAATTCTAAAATTGACTCAATAGATGGGTAACCTCCTTTTCAAAGTGCCTTCCCTGGGTACCATATATTATTCAATGGAAAAGCCCTAATTGGTTGGTGCTTAATAGTGTTCAATTCTGAGTATTCAAAATTTTCAGTGCAAAAACTGGATACCAAAATGAGATGATTTTTCCTTCTTTTGGTACATGAAGCAAACACCCAAAAAAGACCGACTAGCCTTCTGTTTCACCTAGTTAAATTTCAATGGATACAATTAACAACAAAACAGTCTCAATAGTCTCAATTACCTAAGATTACTTATCTTGATCCTGAATCAGGTCAAACCAATTAAATTTTACTTGGTGCGCTACAGCTGTGTGTTTATGGGAGTGGGCACAGAGATGATCAAACTTCTAGAAAAAGTGTCCTGTACCTACATGTATCCTTTAAATTGGACATCACATTTCTTTTTAATCATCATGAGAATTTAACATTCATTACATAGTGAAAATAAATAAGCTATTGAATTCTTTGAAATCATGGTAAAAAAAAAAAAAAAAAAAATGACATCCAACCATCTACAAACACTACATAGAAAACAAAAGACTGATCAACAGGACCCCCCCCCCTTTTCACCCCACCAAAATCCAAGGACTGGTGCTACAGAAGGGTAAGCAGATCCTGCTTCACATGTGAAGGTATTACATTTGTGTGAACTGTAGATTTACCTGGAGGTAATAATCCTTGATGTTGCTGCCATTTCAATGACTGTCCCAGCAAAGCCAACAAACGAGATGGTGGAACAACATTTACTTCTCCTGACAAGGCCTGGGCTATGGCTTGTCTTCTTCTTTCCTTTGTCTGGCCTTCAGGATATGCCTGCAAGAAATATGCATATCAAAGGGTGTTTTGGTAGGTAAAATTACCTCCCTTGGATCCAAGTATGACATAGCCAGCATGCTTTCTAAATGTATACATCTTTCTGACTGGCAGTACTTATAATTACCTCCCTTGTGTCAAAGTATGACATAGGGGGCATGCTTTCTAAATGAATACATCTTTCTGACTGTCTGTTCTTATAATTACCTCCCTTGGATCAAAGTATGACATAGACAGGATGCTATCTAAATGAATACATCTTTCTGACTGTATGTACTTATAATTACCTCCCTTGTTTGATTTTTTAAGTGAATCATGTGTATGCATCTGTCTGTCTGGTTTTACTTATCGCCCAACATGTTTTTTTTTTTAATTCATGCATCTGTTTGTTTGGTCGTACTTACCTCCCTTGGATCAAAATATGACCTAGCCAACATGTTTTCTAAATGTATGTATCTGTCTGGTTGGTTGTGTTTCATCATGATCATGGGATCTGTCTGACGAAGTAATGTCTTTGCTGCACCAAGCTCACGTAATTCTACCAACTCTAATACAATCTAAAAATAACAATATTTTCATGAATGTTTAATATTTTCACATAATAATGTAGTACTCCCTTTTTTATATGAATGGAAGGAAATGTGGGGTATGCGTCATTGCAACCCAACATTACAAAAATAATCTTGTTAGTCTTAGAGGTATCTGTGCTTAGTGAACAACTTATTCTGATTTCCCTGACTGTGTAACACAAATGTTTCTGAAATAACCTTCAAGGGTTGGCACCTTCAACATGTTCAAACTAGTTTAATACCGCCACATTCTGTATGTGCCTGTCCCAAGTCAGGAGCATGTAATTCAGTGGTTTTCATTTGTTGCTGTATATCATATTTGTTTTTCATTCATTATTTTGTACATAAATCTGGTTGTTAAAATTGAGAATGGAAATGGGGAATGTGTCAAAGAGACAACAACCTGACCATAGAGCAGACAACTTAGTTTACTCGTTTGAATTGTGTCACATATGTCATTTCGTAATATATGAACTGAAAATGTATCTATTGTGACTTACCATGACATTATCTGTAAACTATTGCTAACAGTAACAATATATGCTCTAGAACATTTATTCAACATTTCAACATATTTTTCAGCACCTTGCATTGCCATCACGAAATAATTTTAGTTTTGTTTTACAATTCCAAAAGTTTTTGACGTGATCGTTTGTTTGATGATTTAGTCACTGTATAGGTTGTAACTTGACTTCTGATATTTTACATGTTAGTAGATATAAGAAGATGTGGTATGAGTGCCAATGAGACAACTCTCCATCCAAGTCAAAATTTATAAAAGTAAACCATTATAGGTCAAAGTACGGTCTTCAACACGGAGCCTTGGCTCACACCGAACAGCAAGCTACATGTATAAAGGGCCCCAAAAATTACTAGTGTAAAACCATTCAAACGGGAAAACCAACGGTCTAATCTATATAAAAAATTCGTAAGGGTTCCGCGGAACCCAGTGTCTCGCCTACTTTTGCTGTTAATCGCAGGCTCAACAAAAATGAGGAAAAAAAAATTAAAAATATTCCTCTCTATACTATCTTTTGATTGTAAGTAGCTTCTGTCCAAGTTTGGTAAAAATCCAGGATAATTTATGAATCTTATAAATGTTTTAAAAACTTAAACTGCAGACTGTATGTAATGTTGACTGGAAGAAAAACTAAGTCCATTTATAAGTAAAATACGGAAAAAATGGAACAAAATTTTATCAAAATTTCCTTCTAGATACTAGCTTTTGATCATAAACAAGCTTCTGTCCAAGTGTGGTACAAATCCAGGATAGTTTAAGAAAGTTATTAAAATTCTAAAAACTTTAACCACAGAGTGAATGTAATGTTAACTGGCAGAAAAACTAAGTTCATTTATAAGTAAAATACGGAAAAAAAAGAATTTTTTTTTTACAAAATTTACTTCTGGATACTATCTTATGATCATAAACAAGCTTCTTTCCAAGTTTGGTAGAAATCCAGGATAGTTTAAGAAAGTTATTAAAATTTCAAAAACTTTAACCACAGAGTGAATGTAATGTTTCCTGGCAGAAAAACTAAGTCCATTTATAAGTAAAATACGGAAATAATGGAATTTTTTTTTTACAAAATTTGCTTTTGAATATAATCTTATGATCATAAACAAGCTTCTGTCCAAGTTTGGTAGAAATCCAGGATAGTTTAAGAAAGTTATTAAAATTTCAAAAACTTTAACCACAGAGTGAATGTAATGTTTCCTGGCAGAAAAACTAAGTCCATTTATCAGTAAAATACGGAAAAAATGGATTTTTTTTTTTACAAAATTTACTTTTGAATATAATCTTATGATCATAAACAAGCTTCTGTTCAAGTTTGGTAGAAATCCAGGATAGTTTAAGAAAGTTATTAAAATTTCAAAAACTTTAACCACAGAGTGAATATTTGTGGACGCCGCCGACGACGACGACGCCGACGGAATGTAGGATCGCTATGTCTCGCTTTTTCGACAAAAGTCGAAGGCTCGACAAAAACGAGAAACGAAAAAAGTGCCTACATAGCTTGTAGCACACTGAACATTTTGACCTACAATCTTGTCTGTTTATATATAATCTATGAGTTTTTTATCAGGTACTTGAAGTGTCTTTATACCTTTTGGCACATTAGCCCCAGTACCATTGTTTTGAACTCTGAACTCACCTGTTCATATAAATCTATGAGTTTTTGATCAGGAAGTTTAAGTGTCTGTATGGCTTGGAGAACACTGTCCCAGTGACCACTGTTGATGTCGGAGACGAATCCATCTACAGAATCAACAGTATTCAGTGACGTCCCGCTCTCTTCTTGTAGAACTGTTAGTGTCCGTAGTAAATTATTTTCCTTCAAGTACTGTTCAATCAGACGAACAACACTGAAAAAAATCCAAAATAAAGTAAAGTGCTGACCATAGTGATACAGTTTTGATCCCACAGTGATTTTTTTCACCTAGTCAATCCAAATATATAATAAAAATGTGCTTCGCTGAGCGCAGCTGGATATGACCAAAGAGGTCCAACCCTGAACAGTTGGGGCAAAAATGGACACAATATTCAAGCTTGATACAGGTCTGAATTTGGATTGTAATTAAATATTTGACACATTATAGGGTTCTGACACAAAATAAATATAAGTCAAAGAACTTGAAATTGGTTATATGATTTGAATTTATATTCAATTGAAGATTTCTTGCTGTTGTGCAATACACTGTGCTGTTGCGCAATACATAGAAAATCTGTTTTCATCCAATTTTTTTTGTTTGTGGAAAATTGATAATTTCTTAAATCTTGAGGAAAAAAAATATAAAATAGGTGTTTTCAGTTGCATGCCCAAAAATAAAAGTCGGTCTGGAATTGTTTCCCCTCGTTCTCAACAAGAAGTTCTTTCAACAGTTGTTCAAAAAATTTTTTTACTGTGAAACTGTCAAGGCATTTGTATATAAGGTTGCATCGAGAACACTATATACATGTACATTTTGTAAGCTGGCCATTGGGACACAGATGATGCCCCTGCTTGCATATCATATAAAGTAAGTTATAAAGGGACATAACTGAGGAACAGTAAAAGTGACACTAGCCAAATTTGTACTTGATCTGAGTTTTGTGGTAATAAGTATTGTGTTTAAGTTTCATAACATTTGGTTGAGGCAAACTTAAGTTAGAGAACAGAAACGAAAAATTCAGCAATTTTTCCATTTGTAAAGGGGTATAACTCTAGAACAGTAAAAGTGACACCACCAAAATTCAAGCTTGATCTGTATTTTGTGGTAATAAGCATTGTGTATAAGTTTCATAACATTTGGTTGAGGCTAACTTAAGTTAAAGGAACATACCTGCCAACTTTCACGATTTAGGCGTGTACTACACGATTTTGACCCCTTGTCACGATTGCACGATCGTGATCGTGAAAAAAGCTCTAAAACACGATTTTGTGAAAATCTACACGAAAAAATTATTGTTCTCGATTTTGAACTGTTCCCAAGGGAAGACAAATGTGATCAGCCAATCAAAATCTGTGTTTCTCATGATCAAGTTAATAAGCCAATCAAAATCGTTCTCTCTCATGATTATTTGGACATGCTAAATTTTGAACTTGTTTGGATTCCTCTGTGTTTGTCAGAATTGTAAAATCGTGAATATGGCAGGTGAATCTTCATCTTCAAGAAGGTTCTTGCACAGCTTAAGAGTAAAAGCATGGCTGATTGACAAAATTCAATGATGCAGTACTACCATAAACATAATAAATAGTAGCTTATTGACATTACCCTTACTGTAAGTTACACTACAGTGTTATCATTCTTGTAATTAACAGGTTGGGAACAACCTCCCAAATGAGGGATATCCCTTAAATGAGGGACAGTCCCCCAGATAGGGGGTAACTTTTGTTGTTGTATAAAAGAAAAAAGAAAAACTTAGCTATTTTTAACTTAAAAGAGGGAGAATTAATTATATTAATGAACAACTTTTCTAAAAGAGGGATCCACTTATTTTTAAAAATAAAGAAGATATAAGTCCATGTATTTTACAAAATTCTAGGACATGTTTTGACCATATAATTCCAGATAGATGTATAGTTCCTTGGGGAAAGTTTCATCAAATAATATAAATATGTGCTCTTTTGTACTAAGAAGTGGTTTTTACAAAAAAATATTTTTTATCACTTGAAATATACCCCACATAAAAGGGATAGTCATTACATTGAGGGCTTACCCCTCATTTGAGGGGTTGTTTCCAACCTGATTAAATTACCAAATAATTGAAAGCACAATATGTACCATGCTTTTTCACAAGGACCAAGTAAATGTCCTTCTTTGTGCATAATTTTAAATTGGGAAAAGTCAACAATCATTTAATATTCTTATACATTCACAAGAAAATATATCCTGGTACATGTATTCTAGCTACATGTTCATTTCTTCTACTGATATAATGACTAGAATCATGCAAATAAAAAGAAGAAAAAAGCTTATAAGCTGACATCATCAGTATACCATATAAAAAGATATTGCATTTTTTCTAGAGCACAAAACAGCACACGCAAAAACGCCGCAAAAAATTGTAACCTTTGAAATTGTTGTCACGCACTAAAACCCCCATGGAGATTTTCAAAAGTTGGCAGGTATGAAGGAAGGAAACGAAAAAATTCAGCGATTTTCCATTTGTAAATGGGCATACATTGTAATTCTAGAACGGTAAAAATGACACTACCAAAATTCAAATTTGATCTGTATATTGTGGTAGTCAGCATTGTGTATAAGTTTCATAATAATTGGTTATAAAGGCAAACTAAAGTTAGAGAATGGAAACGAAAAATTCAGCAATTTTTCCATTTGAAAAGGGGCATAACTCTAGAACGGTAAAAGTGACGCCACCAAAATTTAAACTTAATCTGTGTTTTGTGGTAATAAGCATTGTGTATACAGGGTTCTCACTCAGGCGAGTCTATGAGTCCTGGACTCATGAAAATCTGTCTGGACTCACCATTTTTCAAAACTGATGAGTCCAAAAATGCATAAAGATTGAAATTCATATAACACTCTAACATTAGATATGATTAATAGTTCTCTAAAATGAATGAATTACAATGTAAATCTATTTTCAAATTACAATCAAATATAATTAATAGTTCCAAATATTTTTTCTTTCATTTGTCACAAACTAATAAAGATTTGTAACTTATCTATAAAATGTCAACAACTTTTATCTACACAATGTAATGTAATGAAATACATGTATATACCTTAATAAAAATAGATTATTACAAATGTATCTAACTAAAGGATTTCACTTAATAAAAATATATATATATATACATGTAGCATTCAGAAAATTAGTTTAGACAAAATAACATATAAACCTGCCACAAAATTCCTCAAACAATTTACCAAGGAATGTCTTTTAAAAAATGAGTTATCTCCTTTTGTACAGATATACATGTATGGTTTAAGACAGCCCTCAAAGTAGCTTCTGAAATGAGGTTGCCAATTGGCCACCAGACATAAAAATTTAGTGGCCAACTCAAAATTTCAGTGGCCAGGAAATAATTTAAGGTCGCCTACATTTTTTTTATAGCTAAACAACCATTTTGAAATAAAAGTATTAAGTTTTTGTTGTGTTTTTATGCTGACGAGTGTAAAAATAGTTTTTGTAAATCAACTGTTTAAAACCACAATATTTATTTGATATTATATTCATTGACATTGTACATGTTTTAAAACAGTCTGTGACGTTAAGCGGTAGCCCAAAGCCCAAGTATAGTAAAAATCTCATCAAATTTGTGCAGAAACACTGGTGATTGCCCGATCGGTCAAGTGAACATCTGAAATCGTTTGCTATATATTAAAATTGTGGCCAGTATTTTATTGAATCTACATGTATGATAACAAGTTACAAAATTGTCGCCAACCTTGTTTCCATCTGTTTACTGAAGAAATCAAGAACAAGGCTCGACCATGTGCTTTCAATAAACACAATCTATAAATGCCCATGGTTTTCTTTTTAGCGGCTTGTAATAGTCCAAGTTGTGACTGAGTGCGAAATACGAAGACAGATATATATAAATCCTGTTAGTAAGTCAACGACAACAAATTGCTTACAAATAAACTACAATTACCTGATGCAATAAATCACTGACAAGATCAAGCTTAAATCCAAAAGGCGCTTGAAATACAGTTAAAATTTGTGTAACTGTCAAATGCTCAGACGATTTTTTTAAATCTGACTCTGATCAGGGCAAACTTTCCAAAAATTTACGGTCGCCAGATTTTCAATATTCTAATAACCTAAATGGCGACCAGTTATGAATTTTTGGTCGCCAATCAGCTTTTAAAGTCGCCCAGGCGACCATTTCAGTAGACTAAATTGAGGGCTGTAACATAGTACTCTAACATTAGTTTATATGGAGTTTTTTATGTATTGTTGTACAATAATGCAGATGTTGGACCATAACTTTGGACTAAATCATCAGACTGGAATAAAATTCAAACTTGATCTATAACTTGTCATGATAAAACTATGTATACCAAATATCAAATCAATATCTTCAAGAACGAAGAAAAAAGTGTGGAAAACTGAGTTGCCGGACTGACAGATGGACAGACGGACAGAGTGCAAACCTAAAGTCCCCTTCGACTTCGTCGGTAGGGGACTTGTAAATCATATTGCAATAAAATATCTTCTTCTTACTGTTGGACTCACCATGGCCAAAAATGATGAGTCCCTGGACTCGCCTTTAAAAATCCTTAGTGAGAACCCTGTGTATAAGTTCATAAAATTTGGTTGATTCAAACTTAAGTCATTGTAAGTTAGAGAAAGGAAACCAACTTTGGGACGTACGGACGGATGTACAGACAGACAAGGGTAAAACTTAATGCCCCCTCCGTTACGGCGGGGGCATAATAAAAAGTGGTGAAAGCATGAACTTCACAGATTGGTTGTATGTTATTTCAAAGAAACCATTTAAGTAGTATGGTCAGATCATATGTTTTCGTACGTCATATGAATTCGTACTATGCATGCTTTTTCAATGGAAATTGTGACGTCATAATGCATTCTTAATAGCATGAAAACCCATCAGACGAGGATATATTCTTTCACTTCCAGTATCCTCGTGTATTGTGTTTTCGACCTACTTACATATTTATCAATATTTCCCCTTTAATATGTTTGAACATATACATGCCTAATATTTTTTAGAGTCACTAGTATACTTGTACATTAAATAATTGTATCTAAAATATATTTTGATCTTAAATATTTTTTTTATTTCAGTTCATTATAGATCGATCAAACTTATGATTTAATGAATTAAATGGTGACATATACAACTCAGCCTGATACAACTATAAGATATAAAATATTATTTTGATATCTTTATTTGACTAGTTGTACACATTTCACATGAGGCACTTTGGAAACCTTGTAGATCCTTGTAGGACCTTGTATACAGTCATGTTTCTGTTCAATATACTTTAGTGAAGGCATTGTGAAGTGAGGTTGGTGAGTATTGTCTGTAATCTCCCCTGACAGACTGCTGTTTCTGTGAATTAAAATTAATTGATATTTTATTTTTTTCAGCAAAAAGCTGTAAGGATCATCCACATTTCCGTATTAAAAATAACTTTTAAGTATATCACCTAACCACATGACAGTCATGTGACGTAATGACCTTGATGTTAACTTCGTATGCTAAAAGTCCTCGGCCATATTTCTAGAATATTTGTTTATTTTTGATAGATTCTTGTCGAAGGTAAAAATAGTATAAGCGAAAAGGTACAAAAATGTGATATCAAATAAAATAACGTAAATACTTAATTATAATAACTTTACTTGAAACATCTTCACCACACGTGGTATTATTTGCTATTGTTACTAAATATAGCAGCCAAATGTGACGTCACACGGGCATGCGCAGCATACAGGAAGTGAAAGTAGAATTAGGTCGAAAACGTAAGACGGTCGAAAACACAATACGAGACGATATATTGTTACTTGATAGCGACTATTAGCATACATCAAAACATTCTGATTTTCGCCAAAATAAATGTGTTACACAAGCAGAAAAACTACTTTACTTCCATGGTGGAGAAGCTTAAGGCTGTTGTACAATAATGCAGATGTTTAACAATGTGTGCTGCTTAAGAGTAAACAACTGAAGCTGAAGTTGTTTTTTTACTCGAAATTGGAGGCCTAAACCGGAATAAAGAGGAGTCTGTCCTGCAGTGTTATCGCTTGATATGCACAGGTTCCTGTGCATCAAATTAAGAGTGACATGCATCAATAAAATGATGGAATAACAAACAAATGTGATCTCTTACTCTCTTTGCTCGATTTCGACAGCCATGCTTAATTTGATCAATGTTCCTAGAAAGATTAAAGAACTTTTCTTACGTCCATTTTTTAAAACGCACGTACGACATGTAAACAACGTAAATCATGTGACATTAATTTTGTTCAAAATGGTAGACAGTTCAACTTAGGCCATCACTGAAATTAAATTGCTTAACACAATAATTCGACTTTAATATTGTTTAGGCGACAATCAACAACTTACGTAAATATTACTTTTATGATAATAATTGAATAGAAGCATTGTAAACATTAAACATGTTATGAATGTGTATGAGAGTCACCATCCTTCTCTTCACTGATTATATTTTTGTGACACTTAAGACTCTGTCAAAATGTTTAAACATAGCTTAGTCGTGATTTGCTATAAATCATATATAATATACTAGAATCCAACAAATATGAGGGTATCACTATCAGCCTTCAATGTGACACAACAATTGAGGTATCTACCCAGATTTATTACTGGCACTTGCATGTGTCCAATTTTAAAAATAGATGTGTTTTTGGCAAATCAGATCGCCACATTCATCTTTTGATTAGAATTCTTTTAAGCAACCAGGTTGAAACCAACCCTGGCCCATCAAACTTGAATGACTCCAGTTATCCATGCTCTATTTGCTCGCATGAGTGTACCTGGGACAGTGATGCTATTGTTAGTGATAACTGCGATAAATGGTGTCATATTGGATGTGTAAATATAAGTCCATCTATGTATGAAAAGTTTGGAAATTCATAATCACAGACAGCACTTTGGATATGCCCGATTTGTGATACTCCTAATCACTCTAGAACCATTTTTCAATCATACCTCTCATCAGGTAATTCTATTTTGAACCCTAACTCATATTCAGTACTTTCTGATAGTTCAGCTTTTTCCTTAAGCTTCAATATAAATGATAATCATGAAAATTTTGGAGACCCAGTTGCTACATCATCACCAACAAATGACCAAAACCACCAGTAACGCAGCAATTAAAAAATAAGAATATTAATAGACAAAACTCATTAAGAGTTCTTCAGATCAATTTTAGAAGTTGTAAAAATAAAGTTCCTCAAATTGAAAATTTATTAACGTCATCTAAACCAGATATTATTATTGGTAATGAAACTTGGCTAAACAAAGATGCATTATCTTCTGAAATTTTTCCAAACACACTATTTGAAGATGTATTCCGAAACGACCGGGTCGGAAATGAAGGTGGAGGTGTATAAATCGCCATTAAAAAGGTATTATTTGCCAAGAAGTATATAAAAGCAAAAATGTAGAACTTATTGCTGCCCAAATTAATATAACTGATACTAAATCCTTAGTTATTATTTCTGCATATAGACCACCAAATAAAAATGATATAGACTATCTCAAACAAATGATCATTGAAATTAATGAACTTAAATTAAAATTTAAAAATTCCACCTTCTGGCATGTCTGGCTTGGTGCTGACTTTAACCTTCCAGACATAAAATGGCCAGAGCAAAATATATTTGGCTCATTGTATACTAAGGAGCTGAATGAAGCATTTATAGATATGCTGAACAACTTAGGCATTGAACAAATGGTTGATTTTCCAGCTAGGAAAGATAATATCCTTGACCTTTTCTGCACAAACCAACCTGCATTGATAACAAAAATAAAATCCATACCAGGTATATCTGACCATGATATTGTATTAGTGGATGCAATCTGCAAGCCCCAAAGATCTAAACAATCACAACATAAAATTTATTTATGGAAAAAGGTTAATTTTAAAAAGATAAAAGACATAACATCTCATTTTATATCTGAACTTATATCTCAGGCTAATGAAAATTTAAATATTGACCAATTATGGAATAAATTCAAAGAAGGTAGTAATAAAATAATAGATGATAATGTACCAAGCAAAATAACTAAATCTAAGTACACCAACCCTTGGGCAAATAGGAATATAGACCATTTATGTAAAAAACAACGTAAAGCTTACAACAAAGCTAAAAAAACTGGTAAACAAGAACATAAAGATAAATATAAAAAGTTAAAAGCTACTGCTCAAAGAGAAATAAGAAGAGCCCAGAGCACGTACATGCAAGAAATAATTAGCCCCCAGTTAGAAGAAAAACCTAAATCTTTCTGGCAATTTATAAAAAGTAAAAAAACAGAAACATCTGGTGTTTCACCATTAAGAGGAAAGGATGGCTTATTATATAGTGAGCCGAATACACAAGCTAACATCCTAAATGAACAATTTAAAAAGGCTTTTACTACCGAAGATACATCCTCTATGCTAAATAAAGGTACAAGTCCCAACCCCACTATGCCAGACATATTTATTAGTAATAATGGCTTATTAAAGTTACTTAAAAACTTAAATCCACACAAAGCCACTGGCCCTGATAATCTGCCAGCATTTTTTTACATAATTTTGCAGAAGAATTGTCTCCATTTTTGACATTCTTTTTCCAAAAATCTATTGATACTGGTAAAATCCCAACTGATTGGAAGCAGGCTAATGTTGTACCAATATTTAAAAAAGGTGACAAGCATAACGCTATTAATTATAGACCAGTTTCATTAACTGCAATATGTTGCAAAATTCTAGAACACATTATAACAAGCAACATAAGGAAACATCTTACAATAAATAACATATTAAATGATAGTTAACATGGGTTTAGAAGTAAAAGGTCTTGTGAGACCCAACTTATCATCAGTTTACAAGATCTTGCAAAATCATTGGGACATGGTAACCAAATAGATGTTATACTTTTAGATTTTTCCAAAGCTTTCGATAAAGTCCCCCATCAAAGATTAGCCCAGAAATTAAACTTTTATGGTATTAGGAATCAAAATTTAAATTGGATAAATGACTTTTTAGCTGACAGGCAACAGCAGGTACTAATAAATGGTGTTAAATCTTCAAAATTAGCTGTTGATTCTGGTGTCCCTCAGGGAACAGTTTTAGGCCCAACATTATTTTTACTCTTTATTAATGACCTACCCGAACATGTAACTTGCAATGCAAGACTTTTTGCAGATGACTGTTTATTGTATAGAAATGTTAATAATAGTTCTGATGCCAAATTACTTCAAAAAGATTTATCTAGTTTAGTACAATGGGAAGAGGACTGGCAAATGAATTTTAATCCTGAGAAGTGTTATGTTATTCATATTTCTAAAAAAAGTAAACCTTCCACTTTTGATTATATATTGCACAATCATGTTTTAGAAGCAGTAAAAGACAGTAAATATTTAGGTGTAACTATAAGCCATGATCTTGATTGGGGAACACATATAAACAATATTACCTGTAAGGCAAATAAAACCTTAGGTTTTCTTCGTAGGAACTTAAAAAACTGCACATGTAAGGTTAAAAACCTTACGTACACATCACTTGTCCGTCCAGTCGTCGAATACTCTTCCCCTGTATGGGATCCGTACAAAAAGCAACACATCACTCAGGTTGAGCAGGTACAGCGTAAGGCAGCCAGGTTTGTCTTCAATGATTATAAAGACAGATCACCTGGAGCAGTTTCAAATTTAATTAAATCATTGGAATGGGAAAATTTAGAAATAAGAAGGAAAAAAGCTAGATTAACTATGCTATATAAAATAAATTGGGGGTTAGTGGAAGTTCCTCAGGACAATTTAACAATATCTGATAGACGTACTAGGGGGAAACATAAATTTACCGGTAGGCAAATATCAACAAATAAAGATTTCTATAAATTTTCTTTTTATCCTCGCACTATTTCGGACTGGAACTCACTACCTGAAGCAATAGGTATGTCTGACACCCTGGAATCCTTCAAAAGTGGCATATCCACTCTAACATTTGAAGGATCCACAACAACTTATTAAACTACAAAGCCACTGTACATAATGTATATATGTTATTGTTAATGATTTTTCTTTGTCATATTATTTTTAAATTAAGTCCATATGTACATAGCACACAAGTTCCGGGAAGTTTTACACTCCTACCTAGGAGTCTACTCCCGTATTCGGAAGAAGAAGAAGTAAACAGTTAAATTGAGAATGGAAATGGGGAATGTTTCAAAGAGACAACAACCTGACCATAGAACAGACAACAGCAGAAGGTCACCAACAGGTCTTCAATGCAGCGAGAAATTCCCGCACCCGGAGGCGTCCTTCAGCTGGCCCCTAAACAAATATATATACTAGTTCAGTGATAATGAACGCCATACTAAACTCCAAATTGTACACAAGAAACTAAAATTAAAAATAATACAAGACTAACAAAGGCTAGAGGCTCCTGACTTGGGACAGGCGCAAAAATGCGGCGGGGTTAAACATGTTTATGAGATCTTTGGAACATAGTAACAATAAATGATCTACTTGTAATTTGATTTATATATTATAATGATATAATTTGATTTATATATACTAATGATATAATTTGATTTATATATACTAATGATATAATTTGATTTATATATATAATAATGATATAAAGAGGGTAACTTCAGCTAGTACAATACTGGTCTCCCTTGAAAATAAAGGAGGATTGTTAGTCTGGCCATTTTGATGCAGTATTTTATGGATATGAGAACCAGTTTATTACTCGCTTATGAATCTAGCCACTAAATGATAGCTGCCACTTAATCAGGACATTAATGTTGTATATTGTTGTTGTTGTTCAGAAAAAAAGAAGGTATTCAAATGAACCAAACATTTTGTCATTAACATTCTGGCCATTAATGGGGAAGGTCTAACGTTTCTTTCTTCTTAATATATATATATATATGAAATAATTGCCACTGGACATAAGTCAAGCAACAATCTTTCTAACAAGGAATGGATGTTTGCTTTTCTGTTTCAAAATAACCAGCTTTTTAAAAGACGGTTATAAATTGATAGTACATGTATATACATAATATATAGCAGAACTTAAAAAGCAGAAAAAAATGCAAGGTTCATGTCCACAGTCCTGCGTCCTGCATGTTGGGTAATTTTATTTCTGAATATGACATGTACAAGTATCATATGCTGTCTTATTAATGTTTCATTCACATCTTGTAAATTCATACGGATGAGTACTATTGTTTCTAAATTAAATGTCAACATTATTTGCATACTTATTTAAAAAAAAAATTATTCCAAATTAAAAATGAATTTGAGCCTTCCAATTGATATTTTATAGTGTGTTTTTCTATGTTGTGATGTTATACTATTGTTTCAGAAAAGGGAGAAGGTTTGGTACCATTAAAACGTTAAATCCCGCTGCAAATGTTTGCACCTGTCCTAAGTCAGGAATCTGATTACAGTAGTTGTCGTCTGTTTATGTAGTTCATTCGTGTTTCTCGTTTCTCGTTTTTATATAGATTAGACCGTTGGTTCTTCCGTTTGAATGGTTTTACACTAGTAATTTTTTGGGGCCCTTTATAGCTTGCTGTTCGGTGTAAGCCAATGCTCCGTGTTGAAGGCCGTACCTTGACCTACAATGGTTTACTTTTATGATATGTAACTTGGATGGAGAGTTGTCTCATTGGCACTCATACCACATCTTCCTATATCTATTGAGCTTGCTGTCCATGTACTCTGATTAATTGATTATAATTTTCATAATTTCCAAACACTATGTCATACTTATGCAACACATTCGTATTTGCATAAATTGCCAGGTAATCATGGTAATGGTAATTGGAAACTGACTGTAACTGGTCTTCGACCAATAGGTTGCAAGTTTCTGAGACAGTAACCCAAAGAGAAAAGAAACCAAATTATATTTATACATATAGAAAATTAATTAGGAAGGATTATGGACTATTTTTAAAAAATTGTAATGTAATTCTGAACATTATGAAGTAAATGTTCCATGTTTTCTTAGAATCAGCTGTTTTTTGTCAAATCATAAAAAAATGCCAAAGACTTTAACCAGCCTTTTCAAAATCCTGCATTAACAAATGAAAACCGAAAAAAAAACAGTAATATAGAGATTTTGTAATCAATATCAAATTAATTACAGTATAATACTTTGTCTATAGTTTTTTTTATATTCTACAATGATTTGGTTATGATCCTATTCCCTATTTTTTTTTTTTCAGATAAAATTGAAAATGTTTGTGATCTTTGTGATGAATGAACATATGGATTAAATAAAATGAAGATGTCAGAAAAAAGAACCAGTTTAGCTTACCAGGTATTTTTTTTAATGGATACCAGTCTAAAGTTTGTTTGTAATTCTTATAATACATTTATAAATCAATTTTCCAGGTTATTTCTTTAGCATTACAGATATTGACTTGAAATAAGTCATAGGTTTGTACACAAGGTTTTTAAGAACAAAGGTTTGAGCAGGCATTTCCTTCCTATTTATATTCTTTTGACAGTACGATTTGCTTACCCTTCTGGAGCACCTGAGATCACCCCAGGGTTCCTGTTGCTCAGTCTTTAGTTTACTATGTTGTGTTTTGTGTACTATTATATGTCTGTTGGTCTTTTTCTTTTTTAGCCATGGCGTTGTCAGTTTATTTTCCACTTATGTGTTTGAATGTCCCTTTGGTATCTTTCGCCTCTCCTTTGTCTTTGATCTTAAAAAAAAATAAACAATAAAGCAATTGTCAAGACATTTTGGTGTGTTTATAGATATTGGTCTGATTTTAAATTAGAAGTTGTATATAGATGAAATACAGATTGATGTTTTTTTTTTTTCAGGTTAATATACTAATGCCTAAAACCAACTTATTATACGACTGCAAAAAAATTTTTGTGGTCGTATATTGGTATGACGTTGGCGTCGTCGTCGTCGTCGTTGTCGTCGTCCCGCGCCATCGTCCGAAGACGCATTAGTTTTCGCACTCTAACTTTAGTTTAAGTGAATGGATCTCTATGAAATTTTACCATAAGGTTCAATACCACAAAAGGAAGGTGGGGATTGATTTTGGGGGTTATGGTTCCAACAGTTAAGGAATTAGGGGCCACAAAGGGGCCAAAAATAAGCATTTTCTAGTTTCCAGACAATAACTGTAACGGTGTATGGATCTCTCTGAAATTATACTACAAGTTTCCATACCACAAAGGGATGGTTAGGATTTGCTTTGGGGGGTTATTGCTCAAACCGTTTAAGAATTAGGGGCAAAAAAGGGGGAAAAACAAGGTTGTCCTCATTAATGGACAAATACTTTAGTACAAAACATAATTTAAAGCAGTGTAAGGGAGATAAATCAAATACATCATTGAAATTATCTCCCTTACACTGCTTTTAAATTATGTATAAAGTAATGGTTAATGAACAATTAAGATAATTTAAAACAGTGTAAGGGAGGTAATCCAAATACAACGTTTTGGTTACTTCCCTTACACTGCTTTTAAATTATGTTTAAAGAAATGCATATTTATAAAGGAAGACCAGTATGGCACATTAGATTTGTAAAATCTTTGACCACATTTATTTATTTGTTATGCCGAATCTAACCGTGTATTTAGATTTTTAATTTTGGGTCCAGTTTTCAAATTGGTCTACATTAAGGTCCAAAGGGTCCAAAATTAAACTTTGTTTGATTTTAACAAAAATTGAATATATGGGGTTCTTTGATATGCTGAATCTAACCATGTATTTAGATTTTTTATTTGTGGACCCCACTATCAAATTGGTTCATATTGAGGTCAAAAGGGTCCAAAATTAAACTTTGTTTGATTTCATCAAAAATTGAATTATTGGGGTTCTTTGATATGCCAAATCTAACCGTGTATTTAGATTTTTAATTTTGGGTCCCGTTTTTTAAATTGGTCTACATGAAGGTCCAAAGGGTCCAAAATTAAACTTAGTTTGATTTTAACAAAAATTGAATTCTTGGGGTTCTTTGATATGCTGAATCTAAACATGTGTTTAGATTTTTGATTATGGGTCCAGTTTTCAAGTTAGTCCAAGTTGGGGTCCAAAATTAAACTTTGTTTGATTTCAACAAAAATTGAATATATGGGGTTCTTTGATATACTGAATCTAACCATGTATTTTGATTTTGGACATTGGACCATAATAGGTAAATTAAAAAAATTGAAGTTCTTAGACCACATTCTTTCTGTGTCAGAAACCTATGCTGTGTCAAATATTTAATCACAATCCAAATTCAGAGCTGTATCAAGCTTGAATGTTGTGTCCATACTTGCCCCAACTGTTCAGGGTTCGACCTCTGCGGTCGTATCAAGCTGTGCCCAGCGAAGCATTTTATTTTTATAAGCAATCATTAATTTTCTTTATTTTTTTGTACAATGAACATGATGAAACACAACTTTATGGCACAACTGCTATAAAACTACTTACCCTGATTACAACATAACTCTGGGTATCTTTGTAATGATTTATTGAATATCAAGGAAATGAATTAAGGATGTACTTAAGTCAGATTTAGGAATTTTTGTCAGATGTTCGGACTCCTTGGTTTTTTTCCTACGATACAGGGTAAAATATTTTGCTTTATAACACCCATTTTTCTGTTCATATAAGACTTAAATAGCTCATAAAAGGTCATTTACCAAAATTTAAGCAGATTCTAGATTTCTTTTCTTTGGATTTGAGACCCAAATAATACCAATGCATATATTAGGTAAAAGTCTTAGTCAGCCTTTTCCCGTCATTTTTTAAAAATTAAATTTAGTTATTTTTAGTTTATTTTGTTCCTGAACTAATGCTCTTCTGACTTATAGTATCAATTTTAAATTCTAGATTTTTTTTCATTTCACCTAAGTACATCCTTAAAGTGCAATAAAAAAAAAAATTTATGTTCAGCTCGAAAAAGCACATTAAAGTCTGAAAAAGTTGTGATAAATTTAATATTTAGCCTATCAAAGATTTGTCATCAAGACCAAATTTTTAAATAACAAAAAAAAAAATTAAGATACAATTGTGTGTGAAATCAAATTTTTAAAGTGTTTCAACTGAAAATCAGTTTTTGCAGTATCTTGGTGTGACATTTGCATATATTTGCATTTAATTTTTCAATAAATTCTATAAACTTCAAAAGCAATGATATCAGATGGGTTTGTTTTCGTGTATTTATAAGAAATTCATATATCATAGAGACATGTCTGCATGCCAACAAATTTACTATTTTTCAGGGTTTAACAGAAATACCAGTACAGTTGATAAAACAAGGATCTGAAATAGAGGAACTTGATCTGACAAACAACAAGATCTCATATCCTTTACTGCAAACCTAAAAAAAAACTGATAATTCAACTATGACATAAACAAATCAAAATTTTCTGACTAACGGATATTATAATACTTGATGTCATGAGTTACCTCCCATGTTTATTTTAACCAAAAACTACAAGTCAGATGAGAATTCATGCAATTTTTCCATGTTAACAAAGATATTTCAAATTATGAATTCTACAAGCAAACTCTTTTCCTAAAATGTCAAATTTTTTGGACAATATACCTATATTTAAACATTGACTGAGCATCTGCAGTTAAATTTTAGATGGATGGAATGGGCTGCCCACAATTGACAGGTCAACATGAGCTGTGTTTATCTCCTGCATATTGAATTAACTTATGACTAGAAAATTAATTATCATTTATGACTGGTTGTATTATGATCCTTGACCTTCAGTACAGACTTACGCTTCCTGATAGATTTTCCAAACTTGACAACGCTTATATTAGATCACAATGGAATCAATTCACAGGTCAAATTACCCAAGATGCCTTGCCTTCATACATTATGGGTCAATCATAACAAAATATCAAATCTTGGTAAGTTTAAATTTATCATCACAAAAAAGTTGTTCCTGACAGGTTGTATTTACTAGAAATAAGAAGATGTGGTATGAGTGCCAATGAGACAACTCTCCATCCAAGTCACAATGTAAAAAGTAAAAAATTATAGGTCAAAGAACAGCCTTCAACATGGAGCATTGGCTCACACTGAACAGCAAGTTATAAAGGGCCCCAAAATGACTAGTGTAAAACAATTCAAACAGGAAAACCAATGGTTAATCTATATAAAAAACGAGAAACGAGAAACACTTATGCACCACATCAACAAAGAACACCCACTGAACAACAGGCTCCTGACTTAGGACAGGTGCACACAAATGCAGCAACTTTGATTTCATTGATATTATTACGTGTGGGATACTAATTTACATATACATATATTACGTAGGTACATGTAAACTACACATTTAAATGTTCAAGGAATTACAACGTTTCTAAAGAGCTGTATGCAGACTTGAAAAACCACGAAATCAAATAACCATGTGAATGAAAGTTTTCTGCAAACCATGAAAAGTGGTACCCATGAAAATAAACGAATCCACGGTAACTGTTAAGTTTTAGAGCCACACACAAATTTCTTGTCATCATACATGGCATTGTGGATACAAGGAGATTTGGAGTAAACACCAATGAGACAGCAGCACAACAGCAAAAGTAAAATAAATGAGACACCACAAAGCATATCTGGTCTTCAAGTACGAATGAGGAATAAAACCACTAATTCACAGCCCCTTTGCTTTCTATGTTAAATAATGTCTAATTAAATGCAATTTCAAACATTTATAGCTATTTTGTTTTAAGTTCAAATGAAGTGGCAGTCATTTCATAGCAAAATTATACCTTATCTTGACTTGTGCTGAAAAATTCAACATACCTGCTGTAATTGCATATTAGAGCACATTGGTTCATGGAAGTTGGGTACTTCTGATCTGAGTAACAGGGCAAATATGGCCTCCTATCATAATTTCATATACTAGTATTTATTTTATTATTCAAGAGAAACTTTCAGCAAGGGTTCTACAATGATCCCAAGTCCATTAGCTTTCATTTCAAGGATTCAAATTAGTGTGGGTCCGAAGTCCAGGACCTGTCTTTCTAGGAGGGGGCTTTTCATTTTTGAATTACAAAAGTCAAGTACCTACCATTCTTTACACTTATGCTTTATACAAAACCATTGAATTTCATATGGAGGACATTTCACTGATAATTTTAAATGGTCCTTGACCTTTTATTATTCAAAGCAAATTTGAACCCCTGCATTTGATAAAAAAAACTACCCGAATAATTTACTTTTTGACAAAGTTACCAACTATGTGTAGGAACTATTTTGTTTATGATATGTACCGGTACTATTTTCTTGTATGTTCTTTGTGATCAGGCCTGAATTACTGGTTCTGTTAGTATCTTAATTACCCAGAGTATAAGGAGATGTGGTATGATTGCCAATGAGACAACTATCCACCAACAAAGTTCAAATTAAGTGAATGAAAGCAATTATAGGCAACCGTATGCCCTTCAACAATGAGAAAAATCCATATCGTATAGTCGGCTATAAAACGCCCCGACATGAGAAATATGAAACAATTCAATTGAGAAAACTAACGGCCTAATTTATAACAAAACAATTTACGAAAAATAAATATGGCAAACATGAACCAACAACAACCACTGAACTACAGGCCTGGCTTTGGGCAGGCGCAAAAAGAATGTGGCGGGGTTAAACATGTTTGTGAGTGCTCAACTCTCCTCCTAACCTTGGACAGTGGTGTAACAGCACAACATAAGAACAAACCATAAAAATCAGTTTAAAACAAATGAAAAAAAAATCAATCTTTTTTTATTATCCTCCTTTATAAATTAAATGCTGTACTAACAAAAAGTACAGAATAACTCAATGATAGCAGATGACAGGGACCTAGGCTATGAACTTACTTTATTTAAGGATGTCCGCTACTCTGTAACAAAAAAACAAGCTTTCTAAAAGACTGTTATGAATTGATAGGATATGAATAAAGGAACTTAAAAAGCAGAAAAAAATTTAGGGTCTGTGTTCTTGTTTTGGAGATATAAGCCATTGAAAATATGAAGGGAACCTAGGCTCTCTAGATTTTTCATATATTTAACATTGGCACCTTTTTTCTTTCAAAAACTATGAAAAATTAACAAGGATTTTATAAGATTTTCAAAAATGGCTTATTAAACAATATGTAACAAAATTATGAAAAGAAAAGTTTGGGTTAGCGGGCAAAACTTTTATTGGCACTACATGGGTAAAACTAGAGGATTCCGAATATCTGGCAAAAATTCAAAAACAAGAGGAGCGAACATCCTTAAGTAACACCTGGTAAATAATAGGAAGTGTAGATATATTGGGTAAACATCATTGAAACATGCATGCATAATTTGCTGGATTTGCATATTTCTTGTCCCAGGTCAGTCAAAAGATCTAAAAGGAAAATATATATAAATATGTGTGGAGCAATTTAGCTGAAAATAACCCAAGAAGAATACAGTTTACAAAACTGACTGAAGTCTTCTTTGCCTTTTGGAATTTAAATTTTATATAAACATAAGGAGAAGTGGTATGATTGCAATGAGATAACTATCCACCAGAGACAAAATGACGAGTATGGTAACAACTATAGGGAACTGTATGGCTGTCAACTGTCAGCAAAACCTTATACTAAGCTATAAAACATACAATTCAAAAGATTTACTGATATGTTTATCTTGTTTATTGAAAAAGAAAATACAAAAATTTATGAAGTAAGAAATAATTTATTTTTCAATTACAGGAGATCCCTCTGATTTGTGAAGCTTATAAAGATGAATCTTTATTGACCAGATCAAGTTACTGATAATGATTTTGTTTAATTTACAGGTACATTTATATCAACTCTTAGTAAAAACTGTCCTAAAATGAAAATTTTATCCATGATGAATAATGAAGCAGCTCCAAGCTATTTCAATGGTGGAACATATCAACAATTTATGGATTATAGGTAAGATAATGTATAGAGTTATCTTCCATCAGTTAAAATAACTTCATTTGACAGGGATCATGTGGAGGTATTTACAAGATAAATTATGTTATTAGTTCGACACAATATTTGATTATATTTCATTAATACAGGATATATTTCATTTTTACAGGGATCACATGAGGTTATTTTGCAATATATAGGGTCCTTGGTGGCCTAGTGGTCTAAACAGTAGAACTACTGTATCACTAGCCAGTCAACACTGAGGTTGTGAGTTTGAAACCTGCTCGGGGCAGGTGCACTAGACCCTAATCTCAATTGACTAGGATTATCAGTTTTCCTACCGAAGGTTGGTGGTTCTCTCCGGGCACTCCAGCTTCCTCCACCAATAAAAACTGTCCACCACGAAATAGCACAATAGTGTTGAAAGTGGCGTTTAACACCAATCAATCAATCAATCCGCAATATATAAGGGTTATAAGATGCAAGGGTAATCTTTAGAAATTTTATTTGTGTTTCATATTGAAAATGGAACCAATGAATCAAAACCTGAATAAAACATGAACAGTAAGCTATTCACTGCAAATGTAGTATATTTTTTATAATGAAATTAAATTTACATTATATATATAGAGTTATCTTCCCATTAACATTGGATAAAGATTTTCTGTTTTTAATGAATAGATTTATCTCCTCATTGACATTTGAAATATATTTTCATCCTCTGGGAAGACCTAGAAGTGAATAGAGTTATGCCACAACAGACATTATTTTTAATTTTAGTTTCTTGTGTACAATTTGGAGTTTAGTATGGCGTTCATTATCACTGAACTAGTATATATATTTGTTTAGGGGCCAGCTGAAGGACGCCTCCGGGTGCGGGAATTTCTCGCTGCATTGAAGACCTGTTAGTGACCTTCTGCTGTTGTCTGTTCTATGGTCGGGTTGTTGTCTCTTTGACACATTCCCCATTTCCATTCTCAATTTTATTAGATATATATTTTTTTCTGTGAAGACCTTTTAAAGAATAAAGTTATCTCCTCATTGACCTTTTATATAGATTAACATCTTTTGTGGAAACCTTGTAATGAATAGAGTTATCTCCCCACAGACATTGGATATATATTTTTGTCCTCTGTGAAGACCATGTAATGAATAGTGTTATCTCCTCATTGACATTTGGACTTATATTTTTTTCTGTGAAGACCTTTTAAAGAAAGGAGTTATCGCCTCATTAACATTTGATATAGATTAACATCTTCGAAAACCTTGTAATGAACAGAGTTATCTCCCCACAGACATTGGATATATATTTTCGTCCTCTCTGAAGACCATCTGATGAATGGAGTTATCTCCCAGTTGTCATTGGATATAGATTAACATCTTCTCTGAAGACCTCGTAATGAATAGAGTTATCTCCCCACTGGCATTCGATATTTTTTTAACCTTCTCTAAAGACCTTGTAGTGAATGGATTTATCTCCCAATTGTTATTAGATATAGATTAACGTCTTCTCTGAAGATCTGGTAATTAACTTCTTTTGTTTGTTTTACTCCATATAAAGGTGATATTATCACATTTATTGAAAATATTTTATGTTTTTTATAATTATTACCCCCAATTACTTTTTGTCCCAAATTTTCTTAATCAACACCATTTTTCTGTTCCAATTCACAAATTTTTCTTTTGGACTTAAGGTGGTACATAACACTACAGGGAGATAACTCTGTAAAAATCAGCTGAATGTTTTAATCACGTTCTATTGTTAAGGAAATATTAAGCTTCTCAATGATCAAAATTAGTTGTTTGTCAAACTGCTATTTTTCCAATGAAATTTTTCCGATAAAGTGTGTGATTCAAGTTTTTTGAAATTTTTATATTTGTCAAAGGGTCAAAGTAAATACTTTGTCAAAATTTTATGAAAATCAAACGAGCCGAATTAATTTTAGTCAAGGTGTTTGGTACCACCTTAATTCAGTGTAGGTAGTTGATTGAGTTTACACACCAATAAACTCTTTCAAAATAACTTTTATCACAATAATAATAATTAGGATTTACAGTGATTCTTAAATCTAAAGCCAGGTTTTCTATTGGAATGTTTTTATATCAAGCCTCTAGGCGAGGGATTTTCTTGCTGCGTTGAAGACCCATTGGTAACCTTGGGCTGTTTTTTCTGTCCTTAGATCACTTTGACACATTCCCTGTTTCTATTCTCAATTCTAATGATTCATTCAATATTATATAAAAAAGAAGATGTGGTATGATTGCCAATGAGACAACTCTCCACAAGAGACATACTGTGGATTCATTATTATTCGTTGGATACCAATTTTCGTGGGTTTCGTGGGTACAGTTGAACCACGAATTCAAATGTATAACAAATTGCAAATTTTCTATAGGCTTTGTATGCAGAGATTATCAAAACCACAAATTCAAATATCCACGAAAGTGCAAGTTTTCCTGAATCCACGAAAATTGATACCCACGAAAATAAATGAATTCACAGAATGACACAGAATTTAACAACTATAGGTCACCGTACGGCCTTCAACAATGAGCAAAGCCCATACTGCACAGTCAGCTATAAAAGGCCCCGAAATGACAATGTAAAACAATTCAAACGAGAAAACTAACGGCCTAATTTATGTACAAAAAATGAACGAAAAAAACAAATATGTAACACATAAACAAACGACAACCACTGAATTACAGGCTCCTGACTTGGGACAGGCACATACATACAGAATGTGGCGGGTTAAACATGTTAGCGGGATCCCAACCCTCCCCCTAACCTGGGACAGAGGTTCTTCTTTTGAAACATGAATCTAACACAACTCTGAGAAAAAAATAATCAAATATTTAAAGTACAAAGTAAAATAACAAAAATACTGAACTCTAAGGAAAATTCAAAACCGATAGTCCCTTATCAAATTGCAAAATCAAAAGCTCAAACACATCTAATGAATGGAAAACAACTGTCATATTCATGACTTGGAACAGGCATTTCCTTATGTAGAAAATAGTGGATTAAACCTGGTTTTATTTTATAGCTAGTTAAACCTCTCACTTGTATGACAGTTGCATAAAATTCCATTATATTGACAACAATGTGTGAATAAAACAAACAGACATAATAGGTAAAAATGTCAAAAAATAGGGGTACAGCAGTCAACATTAGAGTTCGTAAACACCATGTTTTATAAATAAACATTACATGTATGTAATAAATAAAAGATCAAATCCATATGCTTTATCTTTAATTACTGTGTTTTAAGCCAGTTAAGTCAAATGCTATATACTGAAATTGTAATGAATAAAATAACTATCCATTTAGTATGTTCCACCTTAAATTACATTGTAAGAGAGTCGTCAGTTTTATTTTTAGAAACTAAATTGTCTGTTCTATTAATAGACATTCAATAACCTGTTTTATTTTTAGATATTATGTTATTAGCCAGCTGCCTAGGTTAGAGATATTAGATGACAAGAAAATAGAACCAAATGAAAGAGAAGAGGCAGTGAGAATATATAGGCGATCTGTAAGTACAGTCAGTCAACAAAATGATTGAACACTCATTAAATAAGTTGTGAGTACAATCAGTCAATAACATAATTTCAAATTCAGTGCTAACTTGATAGTCCACATAATGGTAAATAACTCAATGGTGACATGTTGTATGTTAAATAAGTTTTGAGTACATTCAATCCACAAAATGATTTAGGACTCTGTGGTGACATATATCTGCTTACCCTTCCGGAGCACCTGAGATCACCCCAGTTTTTGGTGGGGTTCATGTTGCTTAGTCTTTAGTTTTCTATGTTGTGTCATCTGTACTATTATTTGTCTGTTTGTCTTTTTATTTTTGGCCATGGCATTGTCAGTTTGTTTTTGATCTGTGAGTTTGACTGTCACTCTGGTATCTTTCGTCCCTCTTTTGTCTAATACAAGCTGTGAGTACAGTCAGTTCACAGATATGTAAAACTTTGTGGTGATACAATCAGTCCACAAAATGATTTAAAATGAAGTGGTGATATATTGAATCTTATTTAAGTAGATATAAGAAGATGTGGTATGAGTATACTTTGTCTTATTTGAATAGTAATGAAAATGGATCACCGCGATCCACTGTCTTCAACAGTAGATAAGTGTCTGTAGTGAATAATTTAGGGATATTTTCTGATATTGTTTTTGAATTTTTGTCAAATATTTGGAATCCTTTGGCTTTATCCATGTAGTGCCATTAGACATTTTGCCTGCTAACCCTTACTTTTATTATCATTACTTTCTTACATATAGTTTTAAAAGCCATTTTTGAAAATTATATAAAATCCTTGTTATTTTTTCTTAGTTTTTGAAAGAAAAAAGGTGGCAATGTTCAATGTATGCAAAATCTAAAGAGAATCTTTTCTCCCCTAATTTTCAATGGCTTATATATATCTCAAAAACAAGGAAACAGATCTTTCATTTTTTTCTGCTTTTTTTAGTTCCCTTATTTCATGTATTTATTAACTACCAATTTATAACAGTCTTTTAAAAAAGCTTGTTATTTTGAAATAGCAAACACCCTTAACACAGGTAATCAAAGTCTCAATCCTTCCCTTTTAAATAACGATCAGTGAAACAAAACACTTGAAGGGTACAAAAATAATGTACATTAAAAGGATTTCAGTATATCATGAACTAGATAATTAAATTGACATTTCAGGGAATTAGATTTGAAACATTTAGGCATCCATCTTTATAGCTTTTATTGCCCAAAAAGATAAAGCAGATCATATCTATATATAACTTTTGCATTGTTTCCAGGTCTCAAAACCAAAAAGGAAAACATCTTTAAAGAAAAAAGCAAGTATGGAAAATGTTGGACAATCAAACCTTGAAAATGGTGGACATTCAAACATGAATAGAGTAGAAGAAAGGAATACTTTGGAAGATACTCAATAGCATGTTTTTATTTATTTGTGTGATATGTCTTGTTTTTTGTAAACAAATTTATCTTTGTGTCTAAGGCCAAATAAAAGTATATGTGGGGTTCCAGTTACCCAACTGACCTTAGTTTAAACCCCCGATCCTAAATCTTTTCTTTCCATTTCTGAAAAATTATTTTGAACGATTAAATGTTGTGGAATGTGAATTTAGATAATTAAATTCAAAGACTTCTGTCATCTGAGTTTCCATTAGAAGTATCCACTATGGCTAAAATGCAGCAAATTCTTAACGGAATGCAACAAAATTAACAAAAAATGTAACATATCTGTTTATTTTTCAACCAAACATATGGAAAATGGCGAACTTTCAACAGGGAATCTGACTCTATCACACAATTTTTTTCAGGATTTTGACAATCCAAAAAAAAAATTCAAATTCAAAAAAATTGCCGACCTACCGACCCTTTTTTTTTTCCGGGATGTACCTGGAACCACACATATACTTTTGTTTGCCCTAATGATGCTGTCATATTGACATACACCCTAAAGCTGTTCAAAGCATTTGTGTTTAGTGCCAGTCTTTTTAAGCAATTTACATTATTTCGAAAATTTCAAAACATTGCAGAAAATAACCTGCTGACCTAATCATTCTATTCTGAATTTACTCTCATCATGAGCTATAACAGGTAGGTCTTTCTTTTCTAGGTGTCTGGTAATTTGAGAAATCCCTAGATAACTTTTGGTTACAATGATAGCAAATTTTTGATTTAGCTCCCCTTAATTGTTAATTTCTAGTACATTTCAACCAAATTAAATCTTAAAATACCAGAACAGGAAAAGGAAAGGAATGATATATTCATGAAACATTATACATTCTAAACTTAAATTAATGTAAACTGGAATGGGTTTGTGTTTTTCATGTTTTCACCTCTGACTGATTCTTAGGCAACTTGGCACTTAAACTCTTTTCTTGAATTTTCTGTCTTTTTGTTGTTTTTGAATTACCTCCCTTACACTGCTTTTAAATTATGTATAAAGTAATGGTTAATGAACAATTAAGACAATTTAAAAGCAGTGTAAGGGATGTAATCCAAATACAACGTTTTCATCTCCTCCCTCACACTGCTTTTAAGTTATGTTTAAAGAAATGCATATTTATAAAGGAAGATCAGTAAAAATATCTGCAAACATTGCATCATTTATTTTTTTTACAAAAAAATCCATTACAGATTTCAGAAATTAAAAAGAAAAATTCTTCAAATATTATTTTTTTTGCAAAAAAAAATGTGTTTGTGGGTGGGGGGGGTTAATACGCAACAGCATAGTGTATTGCACAAAAGCAAAAAAAAAAGGAGTTAAATTTTTTATTTTTTTTGTGGGGGGAGGGGGGTCAATTCGCAACAGCAAAGTGTATTGCACAAAAGCAAAAAATTTAATATAAATTCAAATCATATAACCAATTCTACTTTCTTTGACTACAGTTATTCTGTGTCAGAAACCTTTTATGTGTCAAATATTTAATTACAATCCAAATTCAGACCTGTATCAAGCGCGAATATTGCGTCCATTTTTGCCCCAACTGTTCAGGGTTGGACCTCTGCGGTCGTATCCAGCTGCGCTTGGCGAAGTATTTTATTTTTGACATATCAAAATATACTCAATCATGAGACCGAAAGTGACATTTTCAAATATTCTCAAAATGCAAGCTTTCAGCTAGTAAAATATATTAAATTAAACGGAATTTACTCTTCCATGTACATCAAGAGAATATTTTTTTAAAGTTAATTTCCCTAGAACCACTATTAAGATGATTTATGGTTCTAAGAAAATGACCTTAATTGATCTTATCTTCAGATGCATGGAAGGGCAAATTTAATTTAATCAAATGTATTTTTGACATTTTTATTGTAAGCTTATTTGATTACACAATTTATCAACACACTGTGTGGTTTTTTAGACTGTAAATTCCAAAAAATTTGTTATGTTTTTTGTTGTAAATTGCAAAGGAAAGGTTTTGTAAAAATAAAAACTCCATTTGAAATTTTCATAGCATTATTTGAATGTAGCATTTTCTGACATCGCGAACAGTTGGTCTCACATTTTTGTTCATTGTTTAACAATCGCAATGAACTTACAGTAATTTTTATGGTAGCCATTTTTGTCACACAAGACATTTATATATGTGTGCTGTGCATGTTTTTGCATTATTTGTATTATTTTCATATCATTTCATTTCGAAATTCGTTATATTATCAACAAATGTCTCAAAGCTATTTTCAAAATACAAGTGTTACTGTGAATACAAATTATGAATGAACTCAAAGGTGGCCGAGTGGTCTTTGTAGTTCAACTATTGTATCACTAGCCTGTCTACATTGAGGTTGTGAGTTCAAACCTGGCATGTGGTAGGTATGTTGAACTCCAATCTTAATTGACTAGGATTGTCCGTTTTCCTGCTGAAGGTCATGGTTCACTACAGGTACTCCCGATTCTTCAACCAATAAAAACTGACAGCTGCAATATAGTCAATAGTGATGAAAGTGGTGTTAAACACCAACAATCAATCATTCATTAATTAAACACAGTTTAGTGGTACTCTTCTACAAATGAGAGATTTTTATTCATATTTTTTTGTCAACAGGAAATAAGTGACAACAACAGTTTACCAATGTTCAAATTTTGTTTTCAATATATTCAGTGGCAGATCCAGTGAGGTGTTTTGGGGGTTGGACACCCCCCTCCCTTTTTTGTGTGACAACTAACGCTTTTGTATGGGGACATATGGTTGGAACGCCTTCTCTTTATATGACTTGCATGTGTTAGAAACCTCTTTTGAAAATGGTTGGATCAGCAACTGATATTAAAAAACAAATAAATAAAAAAAAATGCGACAAAATTGCATGAACTTCACACAAAACGAAACTTGGTGTGTCCCCTATGCATGAATCACCAGCCATGCAAGTCCAGACAGAGTTAAAATGTCATTAAAGAGACACAATAATAATTTACAGATCAGGGTAATGTTTATTCTTTTTAACCTGCTTATGCTTTTATTGTGAAGTGTAAGATGATAAATTTGATCTGATTCCTTTTAAAGTTACATTTCATATTTACAAAATCACAGGGTTGCTACATATTTAAAAAGGCTTTACTAATTATTTCTTATAAATGCTCATATAAAAAATGATATTTCTAGAAATATTTTTAAAAAGAATATCCGCTATTTAGAATGAGTAAATTTCAGTCCCAGTCAGATAAAATTTATTGTGTAATATCCTGTTATGTTTGATGTTTTGTCCATATTTGTTATTCATTTATTGTTATTTGTTATGGTTTAGAAATTATCATGTGCTTCATAGTTTTGAAGGGCTTAGGTGCATTGCATCAAGCAGATTCTAGTCTTTTCAGTTTGAATTATTACGATATTCACAATTATTTTATTGCAATATTTGTACCTTTTTCTGAGCATTTTATTATCTTTTATTGCCCAGCAATTTTTACCAGCCCCTATACCTTTCTTTTAATGTTTTCAAAACATGTGTTTAATGAAATGTTTCATAATTATAATTTTTTTACACTTTTCAATTAATTCCTCTGCATATATAATTAGCAGATATTTTACAAATAGTTATATATCAGAGACCCCTTTTCCTATGTAATTTGTAAAATGATATTTCATTTAAAAATGCCTTTCTTATAGTTCAGAAGGAAAAATGAATGTTATTTATTCACTGGAGATATAGTGTCCCCATTTGCTTATCCATTTATGAATAAAAGTGGTCAAGGCTTTCCTACATGTAATATAAAGATATGAACAACAAAGCTATGTAAACTATTTTCTGCACTGCTATTAATTGTAGTAATGAAGCTAATGACTAGTTTGTTTGGATTCAACAGCAACATGTTTGAAAGATATCTGTATATACTAGCTTTACATGACAATAAAACAAGAAATCTTCTGTTTTATTTGTTAACCATTTGTCATTTGGTACTATTATTTGAATTTTGAAGTTCCTATTAGAGCTATTCTAGGAAAAAAATGGAAAGGCAGTTTGATAACACTTTTTTTAAAATCCAAATGCTCATACTTTTTATTTTCCTTTGTTATATAATTGTATTTGCTTCCACCCCTATTACCAAAGAAATATAAAATATGGTGTCCAACTTTTCCATACATGTTTTCCTGTATAACTATAAGCCCTTACCTGTTCATGTTTTTGAAAGAATTGGTTCTTGAAATTTTGTCAAGTCTGTAACATTTTGTTGCGGAAGTGAGACATAATGCATTTCATCGTCTGTGTTGGTGCCTTCAACGATTAGGTTCAACATTCCTTTGTACAACATCCCAGCAGCGCCTGCATACGGAGTATATATTTCCCAGTTGATACGATATTCTAGAGCTCGTATTTCCTATCATGATTTCCTTGATAGAGAGTTGCTGCTCATAAGGAAGCTATTAAACCAAGAGTTCCAAGTGGTGAAGTTGAAATCACCCCTTCATAAATCTTACGGACGCCATCACGAGTTGGTTGACCATGATTATGGAATATCTGTTTCACAGATGACGACGGATATGTTTCAATATTCATAACTACAACCCCGTCTCTTTTTCCCCGAATGTGACTTTTCACCGGGTTTGTACTGGCAAGAGCAACACGACGGGTGCCACATGTGGAACATGATCTGCATGCTTACCCTTCCGGAGCACCTGAGATCACCCCTAGATTTTGGTTGGGTTCGTGTTATTCAGTCTTTAGTTTTCTATGTTGTGTTTTGTGTACTATTGTTTGTCTGTTGGTCTTTTTCTTATTTCGCTATGGCGTTGTTAGTTTATTTTCGACTTATGAGTTTAAATGTCCCTTTTGATATCTTTCGCCTCTCTTTCACTCTGCGCTTAAAAAATTGAAAACAACACGTTTAATAATTTGTTGCGTCCGAAGCGCTTTTCTGGATTTACCTTCATCAGGAACGCTCAAAGTCAAACATTTGAAATCCGAAGATGTATAAGTACCGAAACCGTTGAAGAGCTATATGTCAAAAATACCCAAAATAAATAGCCAAATTCATCTAAAGCCAACTTTGCCTGAGGGAGTTGAAACCTTAGTTTCTTAATAATTTCAAAATTTATAAACGGACAATTTTAGTAAAGTTTGTTAAATCATGTCAGTACCGAGGTACTGACTACTGAGCTGATGATACCCTCGGGGACTAATAGTCCACCAGCAGAGGTATTGACCCAGTGATGTAAAAAATTGAAAACAACATGTTTAATAATTTGTTGCGTCCGAAGCGCTTTTCTGGATTTACCTTCAGATATCAAGTTTACAGACATCAATAAGTTGTTCAAAACTTCGCTGAAACTTAATTCAACTTGACAGAACCTTTTTTATTAACAAAAGGTAGTATCCAGAGTAAAATTAATTTTCCGTATTTTTCTTGTAAAATGACTACATTTTTGTACAGTTAACAATTAGTTGCAGTCTGGGTTTAACGTGTTTTTTTATACAACACTAACATTTCCATCCTTTAAGAATTTTATGAATCTTTGGCAAAAGCGTTTTTATGATTAAGAGATAATAATCAAAATTTAAAAAAAATATTTCATTTATTCCTATTTTACTTATAAGTTCACTTATTTTTTTTTTCGAAATTTACATTTACAGCAGTCGAAGTATACATTATAAAGACTTTATTTTGATCCATTTGATCCATGGAATGTTTGCAATAAGTTTCTTCGAGATCAAGAAAAAATTGCATTGTCCCCCGCGCAACGCGTTACAGTGTGGGGGGGGGGGGGGCTCTTTCCGTTCGTCCGTCCGTCTATCCGGTCCTGTTAACGCTCACATTTGAACAATTTTTGCCAGATTTTTATGAAACTTATATCATAGGTTAATATCAGCAATGTCTCGGTCGAGTTCGAAAATCAGTGCCAATTAATTATTTTTAAAAGAGTTATGCCCCTTGGAAACATTAATTATACAGAAAATTGCGTCGTTAGTGCTCTCATGTGTACAATTCTTGCCAGAATATTATGAAATTATATCATAGGTTTATATCAGCAATGTCTTTGATACTTTCGAAAATAAGTGCTGATCAAATATTTTTAACAAGTTATGCCCCCTTGGAAATATTAATTATATTGGAAATCACATTGAATTTCCTCTGAAGCATTTATTTATGAGCAGTTTTAAAGAACAAAAAAGTGTATTTTTTAGTTATTGTCCTTGATCCTTGGATAGATAAAATATGTGCAACGCAGGGGACATTGAAACTCTTCTCTTATTATTATTATCTATTTTTCTGTAATTGTACTTCTAAATGGACTATGTTTTGGGCAATCAACATTTCATTTTTACACTAGCAGCAACAATCAAATGGGAGACACCAGGTTCTGCAGAAAATATTACCAATTATTATATTAGCTTTATCTTGAATCCTTTAATTATTTTTAGAGAATCATTGAATAAATCTTATTGTTACAATGATATTATATGGTAAGAGCCCATTCAATCAAATGGTATAGTATATGATTGAGAAGTATTAAGGAAATTGAATACAAGTGATGCGCAGTTGTTACGCTTTTCAGTAGAGCGTGTTTCCTTGAAGTACTGTAAATTCAGAAATTATTGCGTAAATCTATTATTGCGATTTTGTCATTTTAGACTAAAATGCGATTTTAAGATTTGTGATATTGAGAAAAATCCTGTTTAATTCATTTAACAAATTTCTAAATGCGATTTTAAATTATTGCGGTTATAACCCTGTCGCATTTTTCGCAATAATAAAAACATCGCAATAATTTCTGAATTTACAGTATTTGCTTTTACTATCAAATGTAGTTTGCTGGTTATTGATACTTTTTATTTCAAGATTTTACTGTCAAATCCACAGTTGATATGTCGTAACTAAGGAGAGAGTCGCCATCTTGACTTGCTGAAATCCATGAATGTGTGAATGATGCAATAGAATAGAAAATGAAACAACACCTACCTCAAAACTCTATTTTAATGCGATATTATCCGAATTTAGAGCGTACACGTAACGGAATAATCTTCAGCTTGAGAGTTTTCATTCGTATGACGTCATGTTTTGACATAACGTTAATGTGCCAAGATCGTTCATGAAATTTCGCGAAATTTTATTTTATTATAATTTTATACACATTTTTAGATCTTATGCATTAATTCTTTTAATGCATTAGAATAGGAATAACGGTTCTGTAGTTTCTTTTTCAATTTCAATTTGAACACAACGAAATCCATATAGTGTTTGCACATAAGTTACGATACATGTGGATTGACGTTGGAGGTATATAGTAACAGCCATTAATATGTACATCGCTGAATCGCTAAGTATAGATATATCGAGAATTTTATTTCGCTGTTGTTTACAGAGCGAATGAAGCACGTCATATTAGAATTGATTCTATTACTTTCACTCACTAGTTGTCTTCTTTTAGGTCTACTTTCAAAATAAATAAACATCTTAAGGTCAACATCCAGTCTTCAACAATAGACAAGTGTCTATTCACTTCAAATCGCAATGAACTACACATTAATCAGATGACTAAAAAGTTACTAGAAATCAAATATTTTGTAAAATCTTGGTGATCAGAAGGATTTTAAAAACTTCTTGATTCCCTCCCTGAACAAAATTTCTGTATGAAATTGTTAAACATTGCATGGAAAGAGTAATTCTGTCTGTAGCTGACCATCTATGAATAATTTTTTATTCCAACAATGTTAATATAATAAGTGAGCAAAATTTGCAGCGTTTTTGCAAATATTTAAAAACTCTATTTCTAATGAGATATTTTTTTGTCACCAGTGTCCACTTTGATGAATGGGCAAAACAAGCTTATTTGCAGTCAAGGTTTTATAGGAGAGAGAGAGTAACTGGTAACTAGATATAAACTAGAAAGAATCAAAATCAATTATCAATTAAACCGAATTTAATGTAAAATATCTGCAATGTTATTACATCCTTCAGATTTACAACACCCAACTCGTGTATTTTGTCCTCCCTGCCAACATGTCTGTAATAATATTAAAATAGATAGTTGTAATAAATAAGATATGATGTTGATCAGTGCAGGAACATATATACGTTAGATATACTGTTCCCAGATCAGTGAGACTCGAAAATTCAGCGTGTTTTCCCGGCCCTCATAAGTATGATAAAAATGTCGCACTTTTTCAGAATTTTTCAAAAGATACACTCTAGAATATAGTCGATAAACTCATTCATTATCACATATTTTGATCACAGGTTGAATAATATAAACATAGGAATAGGGATACGGTGTATGCTATATACAATCGTCTCGTCTCATACTGGAGAGTTTGATGACCCCACACCATATTCTTGAAAAAAACACCAGATGATTTGCTTCACTTTCCAGAATTTTTGGTTGTATGAATAAGCTATATATTTTTTCCTTGATTCTATTTCAAAATTTACAACAATCCGTTTGACAGATCTCTATTTCACTTCAGTATTGTTGTCTGACCTCGACAAAGTAGAAAAAGAAGACTTGGGCGTGTTGTTGTCGACGGGCGCGGTAAAAATTTGTTAGTAAGTGATTAGATCAGTTTCAGATTAACCACTAAATGTTAGGCAATGATATTTGGAATGCACTTGTATTTATATGATTTAATAAAATTCGCACGGAGGTTTTTTTTACCATGCACCTTCAGTCATGGTTTATTGACTTCGAATGTTTTGCATAGTTCACAAGGTCAAATATTGCCAATTTGGTGTCAACATTTGCATTATACATTCAAAATTACATATAGGCGAAACACGTTTCTGTGTCAAAATAAAAATGAGAATGGAAATGGGGAATGTGTCAAAGAGACAACAACCCGACCATAGAGCAGACAACAGCCGAAGGCCACCAATGGGTCTTCAATGCAGCGAGAAACTCTCGCACCCGGAGGCTTCCTTCAGCTGGCCCCTAAACAAATACGTATACTAGTTCAGTGATAATGGACGTCATACTAAACTCCAAATTATACACAAGAAACTAAAATTAAAAATGATACAAGACTAACAAAGGCCAGAGGCTCCTGACTTGGGTCATGCGCAAAAATGCGGCGGGGTTAAACATGTTTTTTGAGATCTCAACCCTCCCCTATACCTCTAGCCAATGTAGAAAAAACAAACTCACAAAAGTTTATTCATAAAGAAACAGTTTATAAAGTAAACTAACAAAAATATCGAACTCCAGGTAAATTCAAAACTTATCAAATGGCAAAATCAAAAGCTAAAAGACATCAAACGAATAGAAAACAACTGTCGTATTCCTGACTTGGTATAGGCATTTTCTGATGTAGACAATGGTGGATTACACATGGTTTTATAGCTAGCGAAATTTCTCACTTGTTTGACAGTCGCATATATTCCATTTTGTTGACAACAACGTGTGAACAAAACAAACAGATATATTATATCATAGTGGATCTTTTTCTGATAAAAACCGAACAAAGTCGGCGTTTACTGTGGATTCATAATAATTCGTTGGATACTAATTTTCGTGGGTACAGGTGAACAACGAATTCAAATGTTCAACGAATAACATATTTTCAATAGGCTATGTATGCAGAGATTAGCAAAATCACGAAATCAAATATCAACGAAAATAAATAAATCCACAGTATGAGAATTACTTTAGTTTAATGAAAGAATTAAATTCAAGTTAAATATCAGTGTATTTTCATTTGCTGGATTGGCAGATCTATTTTATTTATTTAAAAGCAGATCTATTGACAGCAGAATAATATACAATTAACTGTAGAGTAAGAAAATGACCTTTACGTGACCTTTACTTACCTTTTCGTCAGCACATTTCATGCGATATGCCACCAATCCATTCGAACCTGTAAATTCCTTTAGCTGACAAATCTGCATAGAAGATAATAACATCATAATACTTTCAATTTCTGCATAATCACTTAAATTTGAAATTTGTTCTGATTTTTTTAACTTAAATATTTGGAATTCACTTTCTTAATTGGAACACAGTTTTTTCAATGTGTTTGTCTTTTTATTAGTCTTTCTTTTTTAGCCATGGTGTTGTCAGTTTATTTTCGAGTTATGAGTTTGAATGTACCTTTGGTATCCTTCGCATCTCTTCTATTTTCGTTTGGCTTTCCAACTTTTCTAAATCGAGCGCCACTTGTGAATTTTACGTAGACTAAAAGTGTGCCTGGCGTATAAATTATAAGTCTTATCTTTGAAGAGTTTCAGGATCTGCTTACCCTTCCGGAGCACCTGAGTTCAATCCAGATTTGGTGGGGTTTTTGTTGTTCAGTCTTTAGTTTTCTATGTACTATTGTTTATCTGTTGGTCTTTTTCTTATTAGCCATGGCGTTGTAAGTTTATTTTTGACTTATGAGTTTGAATTTCCCTCTGGTATCTTTCACCTTTCTTTCACAACTGTTTAAACTAAGCAAATACGAGTTTGACATATTGAATTTACTACGTATAAAGTGACACCTACGTTCATTTATGATACAGACAAAAGTTTCCATTCTGTGTTTATTTTGCAGATGTATCCTTATTTACTAAATAGTTCTACCAATTTAATTTTGAATCTATATTGAATCATAGAAAAATTGGATTGAATCGACCTCTAAACGATCCATGATTCTGTAATGAGGAGTACCCAAATTGCATTCATGCTTAAATTCACATCCGTAAAAATCAAATAATTGATGTCTTGTTTTATTTCTCCAAATGTTTAAACAATTTGACAATATTCCATGCTTACTATAATTTTTTTAATAGATGCCTGTAACATATTTTAATTACTAATTTTTAAAAGTTGACTTTTTGCGGGAGTCGCATTGCGACGTTTTCGTAGATTTTACCTTTTCCGGTGAAAACTTAATGTGTTGATGTATACTATGAACGTTTTTTGCATGTGGAAATATATTTAGCTATTTAGCTGAAAGACGTGCATAATGTCAAATCATAAAACTGCAAATTGTTTAGTCTTTCAGAAAACTTGTAAGATTTCCGCTGCTATTTTTGCTATATGGGTGCAATTTGGGTACTGTGACGTTATATTGTTATAATAAAGGTCTTATGTAAATTGACATATTCTCTGGTTGTGTACTGCTGTTGAATTTGTTGCTGGCTAATCTACGTTAACCCCCATGTAACATGGTAACTTGGTACAAATGTATATATTGCAGTCGATTTCATGTTATTGTACTGGATTTTTCCGCTTACGGTCGTTGTTATCCAGCTGTGTTTCACTTTTATTCTTTTGGTTAGTACCGATTTAACAGATCGACGCCTTGGTTTTATTTGTGATACAGACTTTTTTATGGTTCTTTTTTAGTTTTTATGCACAGGCAAAGATGACAATTGCCAGATTTGGAACAAAGGAGAAGGTCCGATAGGCTAGTTTTGGCCTAATATTCGAAGTACATCTAATGGAAGTTTTTGACTTTTTTTAAACACTTAAGTTTCTACTTCAGTCGATTCAATTAGTGTATGTAAAAGATTTGGACTGATTTGGTCATTATAAAGACGCTCAAGTTTAAGCTTAAATATGAAAAATCTGTCAAATATGCCATAAAACGTCACTTTTCAGATGTTTTTTGTCTAAAATGTAAGTGGCCGCATTCGTGTTCAGTCTCAACCTTTATAATTATATGTTATGTTTTATCATCAAATACAACATATATTTAAATATTAAGACTGAACACAAATGCGGCCACTTCCATTTCAGAAAAAAACCGTCTTAAAATTAGCACAAATGCTAAAATTGTGAAGATTTCAGTAATATTGCATGAATTTATGATGCTATTACCTGATGGATGTGCATTATATTGTAAAAAAAACAGCCCATATTTATGAAACAGAAGTCTTCTTCTTTCCAATAAATAGCTAAAAGTTTACATTTTAACAAATTTGTAAAAATGCTATATTTTGGGGCCAAAAAGGGGTCTTACCGGGCCTACTCCTGTTGTGGAATCTGTGTTTTCGATGCTTTCGTTTTCGTAATTGATTTTGGTCTTTCATCTGATTTGATTCTAGCGCCCCAATGAGTCTGATGCAGATGAAACGCGTGTTTTTGGTATAGTTATTCTAAACTTCTTATCTTTCATGTCTTCTTATCTTTCATATACTTATTTATCTTTCATGTCTTCTTATCTTTCCTATCAGCAAGGAAAAGATGCTGAAAATTTTAATAACTGAGAAACTGCCGCCTTGTATCGTTGGTGAGTCATTTAAAAAGTTTATAGTATTTAACTTCTTTAGCTGTCTGTTTCTCACTCTTCGTACATTGTTATCTACTGCTATTTTCATAGTCTCAAAAATGGTTAGAGCTAATTGATTTTAAGCCTGGTATCTTTGATAAACTACATGGAACGTAGCTTTGTTTTCTCTTATCTCTTATAGGTAACAGATTTGTCGCCACAATCTACACTTTGATTTACCAAAGTTTTTTAACCTCACCTCTCAAGGATTGTTTACTCACCTCTCGCATGCCATTTTACTTATCTCCAAAGTGTAATACTTACCTCCCCTGGATTGCAGTTAATCATAGTTTGACATTCACTCAATTGAATTACAAACTCACAGGAATAACATTTAACTAAAAAAGGAAATACAGTCTCGTTAGACACTGTTTTATTTATTTTTTTTAAAACTTTTGCTAATATGTAAACGTCACAATAAACTTCGTAAATAAATATAAATTTATGGAGTGAAATAAAGAAAATTTGAGATACTTTTTTAATGATAGAAATCGTGTTAAGAGTAATTTCCCTTTACCGCTATAATAATGTATGTCAACTTGTGCAAGTTTCTTTTTTAATCAATCAAATTCATCTTATTATACAGGGTGAACTCCTTGTATATGTAAATACTGTATTCCTCTTGTTACACGTATGTAATTTGTCTGAGTGATCAATAGGTTGAAAGTTGAAAGTTCACAAAAACTGCTCCAACAGAGTTGAGAAAAAATACTTTAAATAGAGACTACAAATTATATGGTCACCATCACGAATTGGTTAATCGATACAATGTGTCTGTTACTCAACACACAAGCGACCTGTTTTCGCTGTTTCAGATCTTTTGATACTATGATAGTAGTCTAATCTGTTATTTTACCAATTGTGTTCTATGATTGTGACATTTTCATTAAAGGGGCACTAGCTACGAAATATATAAAAAATTAAATTATGATTTATTTTGTTCAATCATTAATGAAAGTGAAATAGTGAAATAGTACTTCGCTTTTAGCAGCCAGTATGGTTCAATTTTGTCAAAATAAGCTATATAACATCGATGATGAATTATTCACTTGCAAGTGAATAATTCGACCTCATTGAATCCGTATTCATGTGAACTTCAACTTAACCCCTTAGCTAGAGATGGATTACGCATGATTTATGCGTGTTCAGTTATTAAAAGAAATGAATGTCAACATTGAAAGTGAAACAAAGGTAAATCATTTGATTGACTGATTCGATCCACAAAAAATCATTCTTATACAGGTAAAATCGAAAATTAACTTATTTTTTTTAATCAAACAAACATAGATCAATCCAATTGCACGAGGTCGCTATCTATTTATATTTATGTTTATATCGTGTTATGTGACCGTCGGTAGTTTTCGGAGGTCATCTCATTAGTTAATTAGATGGCGTCTAGACTAAAATACACACGAAATTCTGATATATATTATCTAGTATATGCATTGTTAACTGTTTATTTAAGACTTATTATAATTTGGATATGTGTTTTAGTATGATATAAATGAAATATGAGAATTTGAGTCAAATCGGTGAACATGATTTTGACAGCTAGTGCCCCTTTCAGAGCGGATTCGCATGGCGGAGATGCATGCATAGCAGCATATCCTTATCCTGTAAATGCTCCCTGTCTCGCTCGTTTTGGAGTTTTTGCGATTCTCTGTTACCTTAATAAGTATCTTCTAAGCGGATTTGTGAAATTTGAGCATCGATAAACTAAAGCTGACTATAATTTGATACAATGTAATGTTTAATTTCAAGCTGACATTCCATAATAAAGGCAAGTGTTACCCTCTAGTACTCACAAGCACTTTGACCTATCCGAAATGTTCGTATGTACAAAAAAGGGGTCTATTCATACCACATACCAAAAGAACGAATTTGTGTTGTTGTCTGTACCGGAAGTGGTGTCATGATACTTGTTGGCGGATGAGTAAATAACTGCTGACTACGATGTTGAGTAAATGTTTGACAATTTGTATTGCAGTATGCTCCTTTGCAACAACCGCTACATTGTGATGAGGGTATACTACTACACATCTTCAAAAACGTAAAATAATTACATTACGTGTATATTTCATTAGAATCCTTAATTTTGATTGGCTGACGACAACAGTGAGGCACTCCAATGTCATATTTTTTTTCCGTATCAAATACAAAAGCTATGACTGCACGAGCTATCCATGACAAATTAAAAATACTGCATTGAAAAACAAACAAGAATAAAATAAGAATTTCATGCTTCTTTTTATAATCAGTCTATAGGGTTGTAAAAGCGTTGATCGTGAGCACATTTTTAATATGAAGCGCCTTAGCACTTCATACAAAATGTGCTTCGGTCAACGCCTTTACATGCCAATAAAGTTATTTATCCTGCATTGGACCTTTCTACTATACTAATACAGGTGTACAGATAACATGAAGCGAAATACGTATACTAGACGTATATAGTCTCCTGGTATCCTGCATCGGTTGCGAGCGAACGGTTATGTGAAATTACTGTTTACATCACAGTTCAGTTTGGGGTCCTCATTGCGGTCCGCGTTTAAGTCATGTCGATTTCTTTCAAAAACAAATTCAACGATTGGGATGGAAAAAATGTACAAAATTAATTGCAGGATAAAGACTATAACTGTTTAGTGTCTTTAAATATCAACTGTATTTGTAATCGGCTAGAAACAGGAGAAATAGCTCGTTGAAGCTCGCACTGTTTCTTGGCCTCGTACAAATACAGCTGATAATTAAAGACACTTAACAGTTATTATCTATAAAAAGAAGCAAAAAGCCATTCAATTCTTCAATAAAATAGACCGCACACAAAAACAACATTTGAACGAATACAAAGGTTAAAAGGAAGAATATGAAATGATAATAAGAGTTTTAAAATACTGATAAAAAGGGAATGTTTTTTTCTGATGTCACATTACTATTACGATTCATTAATATACACTTTCAAATCCAAATATACATACCACCAAACAGAAGAGAATAAATGTCGGATGAATGAAATGTGAAGTCGATTTTAAGCCCAAAAGAAAACAACACACCAACACAAATCAGAATGCATCCGAGGAAAGTATACAGTAACCGGCAATTGTCAATCGTTTTTAAAATATGTCAAGAGCTACAGTTAACATTTTTTTCATTGACGTATCTGGGAATCTCCAATATCTCTTTCAGTTTATCTAAACTAAACAAATTGCATTAGCAGGGTTATGAAGTTGTGAACGAGCATTACAGAAACCAACACTTTACAAGCACTGTGATTGTAATTAGGTATCAGTAATTTGTTCCGTCAGCGGCACATAAAACATCAACCCTGTTCGTTCTGTCGAAGATCCTTTTTAGAATTGTTTTTAGTTCCTTCATGTTATAAGCCTTAAAAAAGTACTATTTTTTTCTTATTCCTCATGACATTGATATGCTTCTTTAATACTTATTCTTATACTTGTATGAGAAATATACATTTTTACAAGTCTAACACTATAGCTAGTGCGAGAGACATGTTTGTTAACGCGGTCTTAGATAACACCAAGTTAGATTTAGTTTCCACTGACGGGTGAATCATGCACTTTACCTTTTCGTATCTAATACAGTGGTATACACATTATGACTTAATGGCGATGTGTGTTTTGTTTTTTAAAATTGATTTGTATCTTCTGCATACATTAGGGATATTTGAATATCGGTGGACTACTGATTCTTCTAATTCATAAAAAAAAATCCGGCAAGACGCGTATAATTCTTCAGAACGGACCTCGTAAGTGGCTACCGAAGACCGCAATACAGTGATGCGTAAACACCAAACGACATTCACAGATCAACAAACGATTAGCATTTAACTTACATCTTTTCTGACACATCCCATATTCAGTGTTATTTGGCCATTCAAATCGTGACTTTGTTCAATCATGCATATCTATAAATACACAATGTAATGACCAAGACGGTGGATTCAATTACTTTGTTAAATGTATATAATAAACGAACAATTAATAAAAGACTCTTATTGAACAAAATACATAGGTTCTATGCATAAATCAAAACAAGCTATTAGATCTAAAACAATAAAGGAAGCATACAAAAAAAATCATCAAAGATACCAGGCTTATGATAAGAAACACTAGACGGTATTTTCCTCTTCAACAGACTCATCAGTGACGCTCGAATCAAAATAAATTTAAAGGCTAAAAGTTGTACGAAGTTGAAGCGCATTGAGAAGGAAAAATTCCGAAACATTTTTCCAAAGAAATACATTTTTTAGGACAGTCGCTGGAAAATATATGAATATATCCATGTAAAAGAGAGGCGAAAGCTTAAGGAACCAAAGCAAGATTCAAACTCATAAGTAAAAAATAAACTCGCAATACCGTTGCCAAAAAAGAAAAAGACCAAAAGACAAACAAAAGTACACAAGCACAACATATAAAACTTAAGACTGAGCAACACGAACCCCACCAAAAAACTGGGGTATATTTCAGGTGAACCAGCAAAGTTATTGGATTTCTTATTGCATATTTCACAAATAAATGCAAATACACAGAGTATACTGGGTAGACATTGCTGTATCTCCTATGATTCGAAGGTATATGGTTGGCAATCAAATTTTACGAACAGGAAAATCGCGGCTAACCGCTTACAAATGTATTTGAAACTGGTTACTTGTCTTCCATTGAGTATGTTTTGTGAATTGCTTTTGCTTTTAAAAATCTGTTTCAATCTGTTATTCGCAGTTTCAGAATCTTACGGATTAGAGGAATATGTAATTTAATTGTACGTACATCAAAATGAAAATAAGGTTATGCATTTAGATAACAGCGTGGTGCGCGCTTTTTAAAAGATTACCCATAATGCATTAGATTCTGAAACGGCAAATTTTAGTGACTGTTTTAATCATTATGTACTCCAACATTCCAATTAGATGTAATGTTTCTGCTAACTTTGTTCCAGCGGTTGCGATTGTTGACTTGGATAAATAATTTGAACTCCATTTGCTTTTTACTTGTTGGGTTTGCAATGCGTTTTTAATATGATATGATATATAAACTAATACTATTCTTTTCATTTCCAGCCCAAGGCTAACGTGGAAATAAAGATTTGGTCTTTTATGGTCTTCACTCGACCGTCAGTAAAATCCTTGCCAAAGTGGACGTCAATTTGGCTGTGTAGGATGTATAAACTCAGAGCCACGTCCATTCAAGATTCGGGACTTTAAATCCGATGCCTCGTAAAGAAATAGTGCAACGATTTCTACACGTAAAAGTCGTTCCAAACCTTTCAACAACTCAACGAGGAGTATGCTTGGGTGCCCTGTTGCAAGGCTAAATTTCTGACCCTATATCCAAGATACCCCCATTTTCCAGGGGAAGTCCAAAATGCACGCCCTTCATCGTGATCGAGCCCTATCACATACATGACCTACCTATTGCTTTTTCTCGTCCTGAACATGCATGAAATATTTGCTTCTGGACGTTAAGCAAACAACGATTAATCAATTTTGTCATTATCTTATGGATATTCACTGGATATACGACTTTATACAAAATTTGTGTCTTGGCATCTATGATGAGTTATGACTATTTACTACACCTCTTTTGTTGGAGTCTTTGTTTGATTAATTTTATGTTTGTTTGATTTTTTTTAGTCAGTTGTGTTGTATATCTGTGATGTATGTTTACACAGTTTTGACTGCTGGATCCCAATTTTTGTTACATTAACCTCATTATGTCTGTTTTGGTGGCTTACCTAATTTTGTCAATATAACGGAACTATAAACAACTATTATAAATTTAGCTAGCTATAAAACCAGGTTTAACAAGAATAAAAAAATATTCGGAAAATGCCTGTACCAAGTCAGGAATGTGGCAGTTGTTTTTCACTTGTTCCGTTGATTGGTAGCGTTTGATTTTGTCAGTTTTTATAGACTTCCCCTTTTTGAATTTAGTTCAGTGTTTTTTATTCTTTTTTTTTATTTAGATTGATTTTATTCCATTTAGTACTAACACTTTGAAATACAAGTATTCAATAATATAAGCCAATGTATTTGAGTACCTGATCAGTTGTACATCTTGATACTTTCTTGCAGTCTTCTGGTCTTTTAACTCCCTGGCATGTTACACAAAAATGAGATTCGTCAGATAAAGAAACTGAAGAATTGAGAAAAGAAATTATGAGGCATGGGTTTTTACGGGAACTTGTATGTATTTTAGATACACCCATGAGTGCGTTAGGTGTTTATAGTTTACACAAATATATTAGGGTTAATGCAAAAATAATAAATAACAAAGGAAAGTGTCTTTCGGCAATTTAATCTTATTTTATCATTTGTTTATGGCATCTTGGTGTAATTCAAATACTAAGAATAAGACGATTTCTTTTCTGTTTTTGTTCTGGTAAAGTTTTACGTTGTTGGATACTCTGTAGCCAAACTACAGAGTTTACATCCTATAGCCAAATGAATACAGTCAATTTCAATTGCATATCGATTAATATATCTCTGAGGGTATAAATTATATAATATCAGATAATTTGCATATAAGACGTTAGGTCTTATTAACTATTCAATATTCGTTACTATACTTTATAATGAAACCTACAACTATTGTTCGTAATGAAATATCACTTATAAAAAAACTTATGTCTATATATTCTTTCTTATCTTGATGTATAAATTGTCCTTTAAAACTTTTATAGATGGCAAATCTTGCAAGGACAGTGACAATACAGGTGGTACAGTTAAACATACGAAAACACCTAAGTTATCCTTGTCAAATAAAGTAAACATGATATTAGTTACACGAAAAGTTTGTCATTGCCTGAAAAGGACTGAAACAATAAAAATTCAACCTATGAATTGGCATGATTTTAAGTTTTGGGTACAATAATTGAAATAACCCTTAGTTCTCGCGAATGTGAAACGCCTAATCAATTGTAAATTTCTCAAAATAGCAAACACATGGTTATCATTGACAATTATTATAAAAAAATACTAGAATATTAATTGCAATCGCAAAAGTGTGTATACACAAAGAAAGCTTTTTGCTCATAGTTGAAGGCTGTACGGTGACCAAAAAGTTGATAACATCTATGTCACTTGGTCTCTGGTGAAGAGTTGTCTTATTGGCAATCATACCACATCTTCTTACTTCATTATTGTAAAAATGAATTAAATTGGAATGAAATATCAAGATTTGCAGAGCATGTAGCAAGTTAGTGCTTATTGCACACATGCAATTACCTGTATGGCCACATCTATTAACATTACAAAAATCAGTTTTACAGCATTCATGGCAAATGACTGTGCTCAGTTGATTAGAATTAAGTGGGTAGCACGACTGTAACATATAATTGAAAAATTTAAAGACTTTTTTCTTATTACCGATTTTTGATTCCGGAGTCTATATTTTTTCTACAGGTTACCTTTTCTGTGGTTGGATATCCTGGTACTCGGTCAAATAAAAGCAACTTAGAGAAGTAAATCAAGCTTGCAATCGGTACAATTTAGAGGGGAAATTTACTGTTTATTTTTTCTTTAGACGACAAAATCATCGGGAAACAGTAAACGTTCCCACTTGACCGAGTACTAGAATGTCCTACCACAGATAAGGTTACCTGTCGGAACATTATATAATCCGGAGTAAAAAGTCAGTAATATGAAAATAGTCTATTGTCTGCTGCAATAATAATGACAAGGTTTGTGTAGAAACATACAATAGATGTGAATTTATGTCATTCATGACATACTTATACAGTCATTCTGGAATTTCACTATCTAAGTAAGGGCAACCAATTGTAAATGTGAAATAACACAAATATCACAGATCTTATGATCACCCCCAGTTTTTTGTGGGGTTCGTGTTGCCCAGTCTTTAGTTTTCTATGTTGTGTTTTGTGTACTTTTGTCTGTCTGTTTTAGCCATGGCGTTGTCAGTTTATTTTCGACTTATGAGTTTGAGTGTCCCTCTGGTATATTTCGTCTCTCTTTTACCCTTTCTTCTATTCGTGCATATTCAAGGTATCTTCAGTTTGTAAACAAAAACTACTTCCGGTTTTTTTTTTACTTGAATCTTCATTTATTATATTTAAAAAAAGACGTACATACTATTTGTATCCATCTTTTCAACTAATTTCTATTGCTTGTTCTTATGTTGTACTGTTACACCACTGTCCCAGGTTAGGGGGAGGGTTGTGCGCCCGCTAACATGTTTAACCCCGCCACATTCTGTATGTGCCTGTCCCAAGTCAGGACCCTGTAATTCAGTGGTTGTCGTTTGTTGCTGTGTTACTTATTTGTTTATCGTTTTTATTTTGTACATTAATTAGGCCGTAAGTTTTCTCCTTTGAAATGTTTTACATTTGTCATTTCGGGGCCGTTTATAGCGGACTATGCAGTATGGACTTTGCTCATTGTTGAAGGCCGTACGGTGACCTATATTTGTTTATGTTTCATTTGGTCTCTTGTGGAGAGTTATTTCATTGGCAATCATACCACATCTTCTTTTTATATAAAACATAGATGATGTTATTCCCGATGTAAGGAATAACCTACCGAGATTAATAGAATTCACTTACTGTTTTCGGTGAACAATCACCAGAGAAAAAAACATGACCATCAGATGTAACTGACTGCTGGATGTAGCATTGCTGAAATAAACAAAAATTACTTCCCTTTAGCTGATTTTAGAAAAATACGTTGTGAGGATCAGACAACCTCAATCAACCTCAATTAGAAAAACGTTAAAAGTCCAAAAATAAAGCAAAACACAAGTCGGAGACAGACAATACCACTAACGAAAAGACAAACAGCAGTCAACAAAACACATTTTTGAAAACTAAAGCCTGTGTAGAATGAAGCCCTTCAAAACATTCAAAACAGGGGATGATCATAGTTGCTCTGAAATGATAAACATATCTTGCATCACAAGTGTGATCTGTCATGGCAAGTAAATATAAGTCGTATTTGAGGAAAATAGGACGAGATTTTCACTACGACAAGTGGGACATATCCGTGGTCATCTGTGACACAGATATTCTATAGTGTTCAACCAAATGACAGTTTTTGTTCAACTTTCCCAGGGATAACTTCAATTTTACAGCTCAAACCCTTGGTTAAGTCGTTTTCATGTTATCAGCTATTCTTTATCAAAGAAATCATGATAGAACGCAAGCTCTGGAATATCAGCACGTATACATATGCACCGTATGAAGGTGTGCTTGAATGTTGCTACATATAAATAATAATTGAAGAATTAGAAACTGTAATCATCTCTTTTGTAAGGACTGTGAAAGTTAGACGAAAGAAACCAGAGGTATGATCGGACTCATAAGTCGATGATAAACTAACAACGCCATGGCAAAAAAGCAAAATACGACACTAAGACAAACAACTTCTAATCATACAAAACACAAAAAAGAAAACATGTGAACATTCAAAAAAGCCTGTGGAAAGGTATGCCTGCTGCAAATTTGCTATGACTGATTGATTGATTGGTGTTTAATGCCAATTTCAACACTAATGCACTATTTCGTGGCGGTCAAGTTTTTATTGGCGGAGGAAGCTAGAGTGGCTGGATAGAACCACCGACCTTCGGTAGGAAAACTGACAATTCGAGTCAATTAAGATTAGAGTTGAGTGGACCTGCCCCGTGCGGGATTCGAACTCACAACCTCAGTGTTGATTGGCTACGCTTAAGAAACGTTTTTCATGGCAGTAAAAATAAATATGTAGCCGATTGTTTTAAATACAATCCAATTGAAATGTAAATCCTTTTCCCAGGTTTATCTTAAAGGCATTGTAAACGAAGCATGATCATATGAACAGATTCTGTATTTTTACCCAATTCCTACCAAATACTCGTCAACGGCAGTTATCATACCATTTCTCTTTCACATTTAATGTAAAGGTAAAATGTGTTGATGTCACTTATCACTTATCTTACATTAAGATATGTCCAATGATTAACCAATCGGTACCCATTAATTCTCTGATCCCAAGACGATGCTTTACCATTTTTCTTTTCAATTTCAGTTGATCTTCAATCTTTTGTCTACTTATTGATATATTTGTACCAATTAACAATTTATGTAACTTTCCTTTTTCCTGTTATCAAAAATGGAATATTTTTCTTCGTATATTTTTTTATAGCTAATCTTTGTTTCCCTGTTCTATTCACGGTATAATCTAGTGTATTTCTTCTCAAATCCTGTGTCTTTATTCCATCGGAAATGATACCCTGATGCATATTTGGCACATCAATAATGACTTGTTAGAAAACATTAAATCATCGTTGATTAGTTTCCATTCGTTTGATGTGTTTAAGCTTTTGATTTTGTTATTTGATAAAGGACTTTCCGATTTGAATTTTCCTTGGAGTTCGGTATTTTTGTTATTTTACTTTTTTCATGACGACGTTATATAAAGTATCAATCGTACCAAACATACAGTAAAGTCGTTTATCAATACAACAACAGATGTTTAGAAGATATGTTCATATTATTGTAGTACTGTCAGTTATGCTAAAAATATATACTTTACACAAGAATCCATAAGTAAAGTTAGCTTGGCACAATGTTTTAATGAAGTTTGATATAAGTATACATGTTTATGCTTACCTCGTGTTCACCACAATGAGTAAATTCTGTGCAGTCAGCTGGTGATGATATATCTTTACATGAGAAACAGGATGTAATATTTTTACCTGAAAATTATAATCAATGATAAATGATATGTACTACAAATCTTTTATTGCAAACTTTCCATGGTGACTCTACGCCATTTCAGGAACAAACTAGTATAGTTTTTGTTCGTGAAGAAACTGGGAACAAATGAATTCTAAGACTAAAATGCATGTCTATTATTGTTTATTTAACTACCGCAAATTGATTTTCAAGCACATTTTCTACACAAGAAAATGCCTGTACCAAGTCAGGAGTATGACAGTTGTTATCCATTCGTTTGATGTGTTTGAGCTTTTGATTTTGCCATTTGATTACGGACTTTCCGTTTTGAATTTTCCTCGGAGTTCGGTATTTTTGTTATTTTACTTTTTGCCATGAATACGGGTGAGTATTAAAGAGAACCGTTTAAATCAGCCGATAAGGTCCGTCAATTATTGAGAAAACAAGCTGATTGTCTTAGATCTTCAACTAGGTGCTAAATAGAATAGCATTAATTTACTTCAAATACACCTTGGAAACCACACCATCCCTTTTCATAAAATATACAAACTAATATAAAAATGAGGAGATTTAGTATGGTTGCAGAAGGTATTACAAAAATACCGAACTCCATGATGTTAAATTAAAAAAAAAGAAAAGTCTAACAGTTTACTGATAAAATCAAACGTTAGACTTTATCAACCTACGGAACGAATGGAAAACGACTGTCATGTTCCTGGCTTAGTACATGCAATATCCAAAGAAAATGGTAGATTAAACCAGGTTTGTAACTATCTAATGCTCCCACTTGTATCCCAGATGATTATAGTTCCTTTTTAAAATGCATTAGTTCGGTGAGCAACCAAAACAGACATAATAGGTCAATGTGACAAACTGATTTTACTGTCGCAAATATCCGTTTACCTAGCTCTGCTACGCGTCGCTACGTAAACTCAATTTGCGACAGTAAAATCTACGTTTTACGAAGGCCAAGCTTAAAATACAATACAGTTATCTCCTAAGTCTATCCTAGCCTTACGAGATTTCAACATCGGTAAACTACTGTCGCCTTAATTTGAAGACTGTGTGTTGAAATCGATATGTCATTTAAGTATTATGTTGTTGAGTTGTCTTTTCCTTGACGTACTGTAAACCAACTTAATTTTTCGGATATATACTTTATTTCGCGTTTAGTCTTTACTAGCCCATTTCGCGGCGATTTAATTTCGCGATTTTCAAACTTGCTTTGTGTAGTTAAATAAGGAAAGTTCCAAGTTTAACATATTCGCGGCGATTTATATTCGCGTTATTTTTCTTTTCGCGAAAGTCGCGAAATTAATCGCTCGCAAAAATTAATTGGTTTACAGTATATCCTACACCTCTTTGCGTTCGTATCTTGGTTACATGGGTAGAAATATAACCACAGGATGACAAAAGAGAAATATAGATTCTACCACTGCATCGATTGTGATACGATATTTATTCACTCGAGACAGTTAAATTTTCAAATTTAAAACGCGAGGCTTGCCGAGCGTATTGAATATTTAAAATTAACTGTCGAGGATTAATATCGTATTGCACGAGATTTGGTGGTGGAATCTGTTTCTCTAATGATTTTAAGACGATATGTTATTATCCTTCTTTTCGAATGATTTACACAAGGATGTGTTCTTTCTATGTGGTCGTCTTTTTTCATGACGCCACAAAATTTAAGAGAAAAGCAAGAAAATTTGACGTCACAATAGAATTTTGACCTATGACAAACTGAGATCAAACAAACGTTGATTAAATAAAAATAATCAACAGTTCAGCAACAGGATTAATCTGGTATGAATTAGAGATACCTTAATTACGTACTATATGCGGGCTCTAAGTATGTAGGAGTCGTTTTCTGCATGACTGGAACAACATTCCATTGCAGTGTTGTACTCGGTGTTTGTAGTGAGCCAATATTAGAATTTCCTGATGAACATTTATAGTTACAGAAAGGACCAGTACAGCATTTGTTACAGTTATTCGGGTTCTGTATAGATGCGCAATCCTAAAACCATACAAACAAAAAAACGAGCGGAAATTTCAAATGTCCTAATTATATGATAATGAAATTAAACAAAAACTAATTATTATAATAAAGTCTTTTGATAATATATCTTAAACCGACTTATTTTAGCGGAGACTTAATTTCTCGTTTAGCCTTCTCCATCCGATTTCGCAGCTATTTGATTTCGCGATTTTCTCATTTTCTTATCTTATCCGAAAATATCCAAGTTTTTACAGTCTTTGGATTTAGACTATTTTTCATTATCAATAGTTAAAAACCTATTTGAAAGGCTATTAACGTAATGTTGCTGTCAACAACAAAATAACATTTCAAAATTAAGACTTCAAATTTATCTTTAAAGTTTTCTGCCAATTTATGAAGAATTTTAAAATATAGAAATCTGATCTTTCGAATCAAGCAGTTTTGGTGTCGTAACCGGATAACAACTTTTTACCAAGTATTCATTAAATTCACCACGACGGTGAAATTTGCCTCTAAAATTTCAATATTGTAAATAGTTAATAAACCACTACTCACTGAATCAGATTTACATCCAAATTGGAACAATAACTGTCCGTTAAAATCACTTTTTTGTACAACACTACATTTCTGTAAAAATATGAAAGAACATCATAATGTTACTATAAGTCTTTCTAAAGAATTAATTGATGTTTATAAGTCAAATTAAAATCACAAGCAAAATGAAAGATCCGAACAAAAATACCTTCAATTGTCATTTTCCCACTACATTACTATATAGGAAACTTATTTTTAATTCAAAAGAACTATTTTGTCTACATGTTAATACCAAATGAGTTTTTTAAAGCTAGATTATATATAAGATAAAATATTTGTCGTCATTATACTTGGAATAATCATTGGTTTGGCACAGCCTTATTTTTGCATTTTGAAGTTAAAAACATGGCTGTTAATTCGCTTGTATTACAGACATCATTGTACCGTTGAGTGTGATTTCTCACCATTGCTGAAATATTACCTCTATCTTTTACTCTTTTGTTTTTGGCACAGAAATTCATATTTTGACTATGCTTACAAATTGCAGAATGATTATATCCTGAACATTTAATCAACTCCTAAATTGATCTTTGGTGTCATTTATTTTCCAACTTGACCCGAAAGTCAACTGTTTATATACAGTTAACACCTCTGTCCTTAATGACAAAAACATAACTATAAATGGGTCGATACCTTTACTGTTGGACTATCAGTCCCCGAGGGTACCATCAGTTCAGTAGTCAGCACTTCGAAACTGACATCATTTATAACAAACCTTTCTAAAATTGTCCGTTTATCAATTTTTAAATTATAAAGAAACTAAGGTTGAAACTCTCTCAGGCAAAGTTGATCTTTGATTGATTTGGCTATAGTTCAGCTTCTTGTTGGTCATATAGCTCAACTGTCTCGGTTCTCATACGTCCTTGGCTTTCAAATATTCGACTTTGAGCATTCCTGATGAAGGCAAACTAGAAAAACGCCTCGGACGCATAAAATTTATAACGTGTTGTTTTCATTTCATTCTTTAAAACTATTTGAGGGAAACATCTGAACTGTGCCGACACATGTCAGCGGTATGATTTACCTGCCCTACTGCGCATAGGCCAACTTTATGACACAAATTGTCAGCGCCAAACTTGCTGTCCCCACAACTTAAACATAGATGATTATAGTGATCAGCGTTTATTCCTATAATAAAGAAAATGGTTTAATCACTAAATATTTACTAGATAGATTTGAACAAACAGAGATTTTGTCAAAAATTCATAACTGTGGATTTTAAATACAGATGGATCTATGTCATTAGTAATGATTTTCGTGTGCTTAATGGTTAATGTTTAGACGATCTAATCTGTTGACGCTTCTGTTCTGGTTTTAATTTCTATATTCCACACTATAGTCATCATCCGTTGGTCAAACAAATATGTTCTACAATTTTTCCGGACCATACTAAACATAATGGTTTGACACTGATCGGGATCTTGATAGTGATGAATTGTAATGTTTGAACATTTTAAGGGTCTGTCCGACACCTTCGTTTAAAAACGATATGTTGTCCTCCTGGTGTCTTCTAGTTTCTAGTTTCGTTGGTTGCCACATTCGTCGACGTTTATCAAATTTCTCCTTTTTGTCATATTGTACTAGTATAAGAAAAATTGGACGGTACTTCGCAGATACCATTAATGAAACATAGTCAACATTTATATATGTAGAGTCACGATTCCGTACAGGCCTGTCAATTTAAAAAGGAAACGAATTTCATACAAAATATATTAGAACAAAAAAGGGGGAAAAATGTCAAAGGAGTTTCTCCAAATTTCAATTCGAAATGTCTGACTCTTCAAAAAATAACTAGTATATATACTAGTAAATGAAACTACACTGTCATTACAATTATAATTCTACATCACAAACAACCTTATACTAATAGCTGTATGGTATAAGATCAATTACAGGTAAACCGTCATCCGTATATAAGCCTACTGTTTTTACCACAGTTCGTTGGGCTTGATATTAGTAACACTGAACTGTCTTTAATGTGGTATAGTTCCTTTGGCAGGTGTTGTGAATGTTTATTTTACCGGTATCAAGTGCTTCTGTGCACTGAATTTGATTGCAATTTCTACTATGTACACCTTGTGATCAAGTAAAAACATCCAGTTAATATATGTATATTACTTGATGATAACTATCTTAATTATTGATTGATTGATTGATTGATTGTTGGTTGCTTAACGTCCAGTGGCAAATATTTCATGCATATTCAGGACGAGAACAAGTTCACAATAAATACAATATGTAGGTTCTGTAATAGATTAAGGGATTAAGGTAGGAGAAATTTAGACTGCCACGGGAAATGAGGGTATATTGGATAGGGACAGAAATTTAGCCTTGCAACAGGTCACCTACGGACCCCTCAAAGAGTTGTTGCAAGGGTTCTTAACGTGCAAAGAGCGTGGCACTCTCTTTACACGAGGCATCGGATTTAACGTCCCCATTCTGACCGGACGTGGCTGCAAATTTGTACATCCCGCACAGCCAAACGGACGCCCCACTTTAGCACGGGTTTTACTGCCGGTCGGAGGAAGACCAATGGTGACCATACTTCTATTCCCCAGTCACCCTTGGGGACCTTAATTATTGAAAATGCTGCAATCAAAGCATAGATATCAGTATCAATCTAAGTTATGCATTCGATATTAAAATATTTTTGGCACAAATTTTTCGGAATTTCTGGTTTTACGGTGGTACCCAACACCTTGACTAATATTAATTTGGCTCGTTTAATTTTCATAAAATTTTGACAAAATGTTTACTTTGACCCTTTGACAAAAATATAAAAATTTCAAAAAATTTGAACCAACCACTTTATCAGAAAAATTTCGTTGGTTATATAGCAGTTTGACAAACACTGATTTTGATCATTGAGAAGCTTAATATTTCCTTAACAATACAACGTAATTAAAACGTTTAGCTGTTTTTTACAGAGTTATCTCCCTGTAGTGTTAGGTACCACCTTAATGCTTTTAAACTTCGTATATGATTTGGCCCTCCAACTATTTTGATTTGAGCAACACTGATTTATGTTCACAAAACGCACGCGCTCGTCTGGGTATCTATGATATGTTTTATTTTTTTATCTTAGTCTGTTCCCATCCCTTGAAATATTGAAACATTGATCACACGATATGGTAACAGTATTACTCTAATTTTGTACTCAGCTTTGACTTACCCTGTTCGTTACAACCTTTGAAATTACAGAAGTCTGAATCGCAACATTGATCACACAATACGGTAACAGTATATATTTAAATATTTAGTCAGTTTTAATTTACCCTGTTCATTACAACCTTTGAAATTACAGAAGTCTGAATCGCAACATTGATCAACCAATACGGTAACAGTATTACTCTTAATTTTGTAGTCAATTTAAACTTACCCTGTTCATTACAACCTTTGAAATTACAGAAGTCTGAATCGCAACATTGATCACACATTACAGTATCACTTCTTTTACCCAGTGGTGTAGTTTGACATACCTGTATCAATTAGAATTTAAAGATGTATTTAGGTGAGGTTTATGAATTTATGTCAAATGACTCCTTTTTTTTCTACGATACAGGGTAAAATATTTTGCCCCATAACACCCATTTAATCCACCATTTGTTACATAAGGAAATGCATGTACCAAGTCAGGAATATGACAGTTGTTTACCATTCGTTTGATGTGTTTGAGCTGTTAATTTTGACATTTGATAAGGAACTTTCCGTTTTGAACATGTTGAATTTTCCTTGGCGACCGGTATTTTTGTTATTTTAATTTTTACAACTGAGGTTTACCAACTTTCTACTTGACAAATAACAAACGAATGTTTTCAAATTCAATTTGTATGGAAAAACTGCTGTATGACGCCTTTATTATATGGTGGCCTGTTCGTACCCAAAATTATCACCACCCCAGTTGGCAGAACTCCTGTACAGGTATGAAAATAAGGATATAGCTTTATTTAGATTTCCTGTTATGAAAATTTTCATCAATAGATATATAACTGGAATTAAAATAACGGTTGCACTTTAACTACTACAACTAAGTGACAACTTCAAAGTTCATTCGTCCTATTTGTGCTAAAAGAGAACACAAGTCACTAGCCAGTAATTATCAGAGGAAATTATTGTATAGTTGACCGGATTACATACCATAAAAAGTTATTGTGAGCTTAAATGAATTTTAATGCCACCAAAAAAGGCACTGAGTTCACTTTAAGTTTATAAAAGCAGAGGATAAGAAAAAAATGGTCCATAAATATTTCAGAAGACAAGGGTTCCATCTTTTATCTGATCCCCTATTTAATATAATTCCTTTATATTAGTGCCACAATCGAGGATTTTATCTCCAGCTATCATTGGTAAACTAAAGAGCTATGGGGTTTTTGATTATGTGATTACTTAGCCGTTTTTATAGTGATTATTTGATCACCAGACCAAATATTTCATGATTATTTGATTATTTGATAATCTAGAACTGTATTTTTGATTATCTGATTATCTTGTTTAAAAAAATAAGTAATGATTATGTGATTATATTGGCAAAAAAATTGTGATTATGTGATTACTTGGACACCCCCATGAGGGGCCTCACTAAGGCAACAGTAGTTCACCGATATTCAAATCGAATAAATCAATTGAAAAAAATATAAATCAAGGCAAAAAACAAAACTCAGGGAATCACATGAACTCAAAGATGAGTGAGACCAGATAATTCGTCATTTTAAGCGTCTCCTGCTACGCATACATCACCCGCCTTGCGAAGTCACACTCAGACAAATTAAGGCGACAGTGTTTACCGATATTCAAAACTCGTAAACCGCATGTACTCCAATAGGACCAAAACCGAATGTGTCGACAGGGAACGCGTTTCCTGCTAAGCATGCGTCACCCGCAATGTGTATTCACATCCAGTCTAAATGTCCCACTCGGGAATAGGACACAATCGGTAAAATTACAAATCAGACGACTAAACTGGTAGCTATGGGTCGAACTGTCACAATCGTAAAACAGTAAATACCACAACAATTGATTATCATTTACTTTGAAGAATCTACACAACATTAATAAACTATCATTTAGTTTGAAGAATATACACAACATTAACTATCATTTAGTTTGAAGAATCTACACAACATTAACTATCATTTAGTTTGAAGAATCTACACAACATTAACTATCATTTAGTTTGAAGAAAATACACAACACTAACTATCAAAACGTTTACTTGCATTTAAAAAAAGACTATTTACTATACATTTTCACGAAATGTTGGGAGAGGCAAATTACAAAAAGCTTTCATAACCCATAAGTGTAAGAAATTCAACAACTCTAGGACATAAAGTAAGAAATTCCTGTAAAAATATTGATACAAAATACTGACGTCACATGTCTAATACTAATTCCAGAACGGAAGGGTTTGTATATATGCTGCGTATAGATACAGGGCCAATGATAAATATTGACTATGCGGTATGGGCTTTGCTCATTGTTGAAGGCCGTACGGTGACATATAGCTGTTAATTTCTGTGTCATTTTGTCTATTGTGGAGAGTTGTCTCATTGGCAATCATACCACATCTTCTTGTCATAATTATTGAATAATAACCTCAAATAGTATAACTTCAGGACAAATAAAAGGTCGAAAAAAAATAGTCCCTTCAATTTGACAGTTGTAGGAAGTTACCCGGCCTGCATATTGCAAAAAAAAACCAACTTCTGAGTCATAAATATATATCTTGGGTGTTGCAAAGCACCATTCTTTTTTTATTTGGTGTTTCTATAATATATATTGGAAACTTCAGGTTACATGGCTACTAAAAGCTTGTTTACAAACAGGAAAGAAAGGGGGGTGACAATTTGATTGGTTATTACCTTATATGCAATAAAATGTTATGGGAAATTTTGTCTGTAGTACTGAACAGGATAAAACTTTACTCATGCCAAGTTTTTCTTTATTTGAAACATGCAGGGACTATTACATGTCAATATATTGTGTCCCAGTTTGAAACAAAGACAAATTCTGCACAATGTTTTGAAGAGTGCCAATTTAACAAAGATTAATAGGGGAAAACAATGGTGGTTTTACTCCTATTTAGAAAAGAATGATTTTCTGAATTTTAACATTAGTTAACTGCAGTTGCCACTCGTTTGCAATATAGAAAAATTGATTTTAAAAGACCACTGAGACTATCGATTTTGTAATATATAATACGGTTTTAATATATGAGCTGCGTCGGATAGAAATCGACCTTATGCAAATGAATACCTATACAATTGTTAACGTATTTCGGGTTGAAAAATCTTTATGCAAAGTCGGTAACTGTTTGAAGAATTAAGTTGATTTAAGAACCCTACACCATCGACCAAAATTCATCTTTCATTTCGAATTTAAATGTTCCAAAATCAATCAAAGTCTTATAAATGTACATGTATACGTGCACTTGCATATCTGACACGCTCAATTTATGATTAAATGTAAAAGGGGTCGATGTGGTTTGATTGCCAATGAGACCATTTATCCACAAGAGACCATTTATACACCAGAGACTAAAAGGATGTGGTTGTAAGCAACTATAGGTCACTATACAGCCTTCAACAATGAGCAACACTCATATGGCATATGATACCTGTCTGTCTCTACAGCCTTGGTTGAAATATACATCTCCATCATCAGCTATAATTTTATCTATATAACATTCCTACAAATACACAAATCAACCTAATTATCCGAGAACTCTCTTAATGCTATGCTATTTCAACAATAAAGATAACGTCATGTCATTGGTTGAATTTTCATTGTTTGAGAGTTTGTTAACCAATCTAAAAGTTTTGGTGTATGCTTGTTCAAAAACTTTGCTTCATTTTGAAGACGCACGTGTTACATCCAAAATAAAATCAATATTAACTTGACAGGACTCGGGAATTTACCTACGGTGTGAGTTTTTGTCAATAATAGGATCATTGAAGTGACATACACCTGTTTTTGTCTCGATGAGATGTTAATCGGCCATCTTCAATTTTAATTGTTTTACACAGAAGCTCACGGTGTGGGAGTTTATTGTTTGTGGTTAATTTTTGTGTCAGTTTTTTGTCTTTACAGAAATAAACAGGATGGGTGCCACTTGTGGAGCAGGATCTGCTTACTCTTCCGGAGCACCTGAAATCATCCCAAGTTTTCGGGGCTGTTCATGTTGCTCGTTTTTCATCGACTTATGAGTTTGAATATCCCTTTTGTAACTTTCGCCTCTGTTTTATAAAAGTGGTAGGTTATACATGTTAATACTTTGGACCAATATATATCAGTCATTTCCCATGTTATATTTAATGAGGGTCTGGATTCTTTAATTTCTTATGTCATTTTTCTCTATTCTTTTTATTTTTTGCCTATTATTCTCTATTCTTTATATTTTAGCACTACCCCATTCCGTATTTTTTTTTTTTTTTTTTTTTGGCCGATTTTTCTCTATTCTTTGTATTTTTTTTGCCTTTATTCTGCACTTTTTCTTCATTATTCTTCTTTCTGTTAACCCACCCAGACCCTCTTAATTGCGTGTACATACCTCGTGTGGACCACAAGTTATCACTCTGGTACAAGAAGCTAGATTGGAGTTGTCCTGACAGCTAAAACAATATCTGTCTTGAAAAAAGAAAGTGAAATTGAGAATGGAAAAGGGGAACGTGTCAAAGAGACATTAACCCGACCAAAGAGCGGAAAACAGCCGAAGGCCATTAGTGGGTCTTGAACACAGCGAGAAAATCCCACACCCAAAGGCGGGCTTCAGTTGGACCCTCAACAAAATGTATACTAGTTCAGTGACAATGGACGTCACACTAATTAACTCCAAAGCATATAAATGAACTAAAATTTTAAAAAAACACATACAAGACTAGCAACGGCCAGAGGCTCCTGACTTTGGACAGGCGCAAAAATGCGGCGGGGTTAATCATGTTTTGTGAGATCTTAACCCTCATTCTATATCTCTAGTGGATGTAGAATATAAACAAACACATCCTGCCAACAACTGGTTTTAGAATAAATGCGTTTATTCCTATGAGTGAATCAATATTAATACCAAAATATGCCATACTAAGCAGGTATTCATATGGCACCAATATAATTGAGGGTAGGAATGCCCTCTATACCGTCATTTTCGGCTACCGTTAGCGTCAAATTGGTTAAAATGTTACAGTGATTCGTCAAAATATCCTTATCGTGATTTTCAGTCACATAGTTATGATTACCGTTATTTTTGGAAAAAAATTAACGTGATTCGTCAAAATCTGTCGATTTTTTATCGTCTAAAAGAAAGTGAAATTTACCGTTAACGTCATTTGGCAAGAATTTTTACCGTTATTCGTCATGAAGGTACCCCCATTACGATCCTCATAATTCCCTTTAATAGCAGACTTAATTTTTTTATAGTATTTAATAAATCGTAATTCATGACCAACAATTACTAAGGAAACAGCCGTCGAAATTATATATGTAGGACTCAAATCTATGGTGGGTTCCAAATGTATGGCAGATTCCTAATCAATGGCAAATATGACGTTACAAATCAAATCTATGGCAGTTTTTTGTTTTCTCCAAATCTATGGCAGATCTTGAAATTGCGTAATTTTCCGGGGAAAAGAGTAACATATAGTGTCACAATTAAATAACGCCATAATTACGTCGTCGTCGCCGGCGCTAACGTTGGCAGAACCGGCATAGATTTGAACACCATTTATAATTTTTTTCTTTTAATTGTATGATGTAAACCGAAAACAAATATTTAACACGGGGCTCACAGATTTCATATTTTTACAAACAAAAACACAGGGAAACACTCTCCCTCTAAAAACAATTAGCCGATGGTTTAAAGGAAGATGTGCTGTACTGTCCGAATCCCGCGATGAATAAAGGCACGGCTGTTTTTAGTAGTGGATATTTTAGGAAAGGAGTTATAATTTATATTTTAGCATCTACGCCTGGCAATGTATATAAAGTGAGAGATGAAATTTACAGGATACCACTTTGACTTAAATCGTCATTAGTTAAAAAAAAATTGATTAACGCTCAAATAAATATTATATGAAAAATTAAACTGTTTGATTCTTTTCATAAAAAAACTGCTTTCTTGTTTGTCATGGGACTTCCATTTTTATTAGTTGGTTTAATAAATAGACTAAACAGGTACCATAAAATTAATAAAATTGAGAATGGAAATGGGGAATATGTCAAAGAGACAACAAACCGACCAAAGAGCAGACGCTTATTTTTCCGGGGCGCATCATTTTAATCCTGAGGTCTGTATTATGGTATAGGAATGTTTGTTTCAAAAATGTTTATAAACATGCTTCCGTTTTCATACATTTTCACTTGTTTAAGAAAAGGAATCAATCGTATATGTACTGCCTTGTTTTCCATATGCACAAAATTTGCCATAGATTTGGAAACAACAAAAATCCGCCATAGATTAGGAAATTACAAAACTTGCCATAGATTAGGATTGTAACAAATCTGCCATAGATTTGGGATGGCATGACGTCATATTTGCCATAGATTAGGGATCTGCCATAGATCTGGAACCCACCATGGATTTGAGTCCTACATATATAAAAAATTTAAAAACACTTACCGCTATACCGTTACTTTGATGATACATTTTTTAAAATGATCATTAATTTAAATCAATACTATAAAAATTTACCCCAAAAGAACTTACTTGTAGATTATGTAAAAAATGCACCTTGGATAAAGTTGAAGACGAAGAACATTTTATATGTCAATGTCCCCTTTATAATCTCTTGAGAAAAGAATTTTATGATAAAACTTTGATAAATTGTAAAAATTTCGAAATGTTAAGCACAAGTGCCAAATTTAATTGCCTTTTTATTCAAGAAAACCTAGAGGTATTTAAAATTATTGCAATTTATATTAATAAATGTTTTGAACTCAGAAAACTATAAATATAGTACATATATGTTTTTATGTAACCCGTTGATAATATTTGCCTGTTAATATTAGATATAATTGTTATGCTTTTTTTTTACTAATATGTGTATGGCTCTGATCTGGCTGTGGTTTAACATCTTAGAGTTGAGATGATAATATTCATATTTATATATCAACATTATTGTGTCAATTATCAAAATCATTGTAATAAATTACTTTGCTCTTCATGGGCCCTTTAATTGGAATAAAAATATCTTATCATATCTTGTAGATCTAATGTGAACAACAATCATTGTCTTTCTTCATGTTTTCTTGATTATGGATATTTCAGTTACAAATTGACATTAAAAGAGACAAACTTAAGATGGGGTTAACAGAATAGAGAATTGCAGAAAAATGGTAAAAACATAAAATATAATGAAAAATAGGCCAGCAAAATAAAGAATAGAGAATAACGTATAAAGCCTAAATCTAGTTTAGTTTTACATATTATTACACGAAGAGAAGATATCGGTTGTAGGGGTGTGGTGGGTAGGGCAAGGGGGTTGCAAGGGTAAAAAAAAAAAAAAAAAAAAGCAAACGTAGAATGATATCATTTGCGGTTAAGCGTAGATATTATAAGTTGTTTATCATAGATATGTCGGGACCTCTATAGCCGACCGTATGGTATGGGTTTTTCTCATTGCTGAAGGCCGTACGGTTGCCTATAATTGCTTACATTCACTTCATTTAGTATGGGAAGATCAGCAATGAGGATGCGGATTAATTTAATTTATATTTTTTAATAGTCAGGTTGCTAAGGGAGCTACCATTTGATTTTTATGGGGGGGCTAGGATGAAAAATTTTGTCATGCATTTTTTTTTAGTTTTAATCTCTGTCCTGCCTTATTATTTTTCACTCTATTCGGTCCTGCCTTTTTTTTAAAGTTTATCCTGACTTTTTGTAACCTAAATTGTCATCCTGACTTTATTTTTGCAAGTGTCTCATCCTGCTTTTTTTTTTTTACTCAAAACTCCTGTCCTGCCTATTTTTTTCAAATTTCATCCTAGCCCCCCCCCCCCCCCCCCCCCCCCCCCCCCATAAAAATCAAATGGTATCTCCCTTATGCGGTGTCTTCTGCCTATTCACACTATTCGAAAATACATATTCCGGCTATTCCCACTTGCAAATAACAATTTATTTTTCTATACCGACTTATTACTTGTTGATCGCCTGTATTTTACCTGTGAATAATCTAAAGTAAGCTAAAATGCATACAAAATGTTTTTATACCATAATCTAGTTAATAATCATTATCCTTATTTCAGAGGAATATCTCACCTGAATATGCAAACGAAAAGAACACAATGTTGAAAAACAAAATTCGTGAGACTTCACTATACTTCCTGCAAAAGATCAATTTTAATTAAAGAAAAAAGACAGTTCGAAAAACTTAGAATATTACCATTAGGTTTTTTTGTAAAACAACATTGATTTTAAACTTTGTGTTGCCGTCTCATCTAAGGAATGGCTGTAATATTTTTTCTGTCTATGAAGTAATAACATAAAAAAAATGTGGTGCACACTGAATAACCTGCATAGCGATAACCATTTTGTGTTCCTTATTCAAAGACTTGTACATGTGTCATTTTATTTGGGAAATACTTATATATGTAGATATACATCAAATGAGTTTTGTGACTTGATATTACCAGTTTGAGAGAAGAATATGAAGACCGATCGACAATTGATTTTATCATACATCATGTCAAAATGCCAGATTTTGATTGGTTAATACGAGGGAGACAATTTACTTTATCCCATGGCAAATACTCTATTGCCCTTCACGGAGACGCTTGCTCAAGTGTGCGCTTTAATAAATACGGATGATGGTTATGTACAAGACGACATAATTTTATTACTTTGAATTTGAAATTTAATAGACAGTAATAACAGAACCTTCAGTATAATAAATTAAATAACACATATCTGAGAGTGTGATAGAGCAGATTGTTACCCCTCGAAAAGACGTTGTCAACCTTGGCTTCGCCTCAGTTGACAATGTTTTCTCGGGGTAACAATCTGCTCTATCACCCTCTTAGCTATGTGTTATTCATGTAATGCCAAAGCTTTGATTACAATGCAAAGCGTGAACACATGATCATATGTTGATAAGTTTGACCGCCGAGTGTCTGATGATTTTTTTGTTATGGGTTGCTGTCTCATTGACGTGTACCCAAATCACCTTTTATTTATATTTATGAAGAAATTAAATAATGACTTAGGGCACCTCGTGGTTAATTGAAGGTCTCGCAATTAGTGAAATAAATACTCTGAACAAGGGGATAACATTTAAAGACCAAACAGCCTATTGTTGATGCGCATCAACTAACGCAACTTGGTAGTGACATAAAAGCTCTATGACGTTGTTTCTAGCCATGAAAAAAACCGTCAAATTATAACGTCCTATTTCGCGTTTTTCACGGACTCCAACATGGTGTACGCTTAAAACTGCGTCTTCCAAGAAAAGTGGAATTAAGCGTCGTACTGATACCTAGTGGAAATTAAACACAAATGGACACAAAAGATACTACACTATCTGTAACCTCCGTTCTAATAAAAATAATAATAAAAATATAAATTTTGAACTCGGCTTTTTTGCATTTGCGCCGATCTGCATTTCACTTTTTTTCTTTCACTTGCGCCGATTGTGTACAGGTAAATTATAGGTGAAAGTTATTTTTTTATTTATCATATAAACCTCTTCCGTTAGCCACTTGTACATATGTTATGAATTGTCAATTATAACATGTATATAACTGTTGTCCCCTGCTCACAAAGGGGAGGTGGGAGTAGAATGTCGAGCAGGATAAGTCAATTTAAAAGATATTTGTGCACTCTGTTTACATCCACTAATATCACGGAGTAAAATCTATTTACAGCATTTCAAAGCACCACAATAAAATCCATAAAAATGTAATACTAGTACAATGAATTATTATCTTGCCGAGAATTTATATGCCATACATCTGATATATTCCTTTCTTGTCATTTTATCTTTTCTATACTTGTTGTACTTGCCAATAACGAAGTCCATCTTTTCTTTCTCGTGCCAAAACGAAGTTCTCGAACAATATGACCAAAATTATCTCAAACATAAGGGAACACTATTTATATCCATATATTACCATGCAATATACATTCTAGGTTTACTACATGTACATGTATTTATTCGTATAGCAAATAAAGTATCGGGGCTAGTGATAAAAAAAATAAAATAGGCGCTAATGAAATTCAAAGAATCAAATCGGCGCAAATTAAAGATCGATTTTTTTTTTAATTGGCGCAAATCTCGTACGCCCGTGTAACTTTACACTGGTAAATTTATATGACTTACGCTTAGAATTTTAACTTAATATGTGATTTTCAAAACTGAGTTTTCAGAAGGTTAGGCCGATAAACAATACTTTCTAGAAGTTTCTATATATTGGCAACGTATGCATGTTGAGATTAACTTATTCCTTTAAGACTCTCGTAAAATAATGGTGATCTTGCAATGAAGTTAAATTTTATCTATACTGCTTAATTGACAAAATCTTATAGTAAAAATAAAAATGATAAAGGTTCATTGTCTTTTGTCATTTGTTTCATTTCAAATTGTCTCAAGGAGAAATGATAAAGATTTCGCCTGATCTCACAGAAGCTTAAGGCAAAAAATATAAGAAATTTATATACTCAGTGAATGTGAATTAAAATAAAAATTTACGGTTTTTAAAACTAAACTTGTTGTAAATTTAACTTATGACAAAAACAATTGCTTCAAGAATAAGATCCAACATAAAATTTCTCACTTTCAAAAAGCTACAATGACTGGAAAGATTGAAAACAAGTTTCGGCCGGCAATCTATACATACAACCTTGTCTTTGTTTTAATTTCCAAAACGAGCTATTTAGATTCATAATATTTCATCCTGTTTTGAGAAATACTTTATAGTTTTCAACGGAAAATTATTTCTTAAATTCTAAATCATTTTTTGAATTAAAAACTTATTTGTATTATATATTTACTGTCTCGTTTATTCAAAACACGTGAGGTAGTAATAACGGGGATCGTATTTTATGATAGGTTAAATGGATGTAAAACTTTAATTCATATATTATACTTATAATTTTAATTTTCTTATATTTTAAATTTGCAGAAATAATGAATCCACAAACTAGATGGAATAATTTGTATACGCTCGTCTTAGTCGGGACACATAATGGTATAAAGAAGTCCGTCCGTGCTAATGTCTGTCCGTCTGTCAACAGTAGCGAAAGAGTGCGCTAGGGCGAAGTTCTGAAATTGATGCGACAAAAAAACCCACACATCTAGTCTAATATAGTCAAATAGTCTGTAAGTTAGCCAGTGTCATCTTTCATTTCTCTTTTTATTTTCAATGAATTTGCTAATGAGAGGGAGAGGACAAAAACAGACTTTCCTTTCTTAAGCGTCGTAAAAGGTTATTTCGAACAATTTTTCATTCCGACGGATGGTGTTTCTGAAGGTTAATTTTGTGCGGCAACAACATCATGAGATCTGATACTGATACATACATGTGATCTCTTGTATTACCGGATAATAAAGTAGGTGAATATAGTTGTTATTCTTGATTCTTGAAAATTAAAATGTGGGTTTCAAACGTCCAATTTGCAATTTTTTTCAAACAGTGCGCCAGCAAGGTAAACTTGTACTATGACGTCAGATTCAATGTTCTGAAGAAAGACAACTCTTTTCTTCAAAACGAACGAGAAAAAAACATGAAAATTAATAATAACTTTTTTGAAAGGTCGGTGACATATACATTTTTTTGCTTTATTTTGAAGAGTACACATGGCACTTTCCTTCTTGAAATTTTTATGAAAAAATCACTGGTAGATATTTTTTAATACTTGAAACATTTTTCATTCTTGCGTTTTATTTTTGGCGGGAATGAAATAAATCATTTTTTTAAAGATCAAAACAATAAAAGTCTTAAACTCTTGAACCTGTATTTGATAGACACAAATCTACTGTTTATCATGAAACAAGAATTATGCTTGTAGGTTTGATATAATGGGATTTTTTGAGAGTTTAAATAACAAGCAAATATTTTGTTAATATTCGGAAAAACACGAAACTGAGGTTGCTATAGTGACAAAACTAAGTCGGTGACCCCCAATTTTTTTTATCATATTTTGTTCCTTAAATCATGAAATACCTTCACACAAAATTTTAAGGAAAAATCACTGGTAGAACTGAATAGGCTGTTTGGTCTTTAATATGCAACTCTGTGAAATCAACGATAACCGCGCGAGTTTGTGTGTTCATGCATGTATCTAATTAGTCGTAATACATTCGAAAGAATTTCTCTAAAAATATACACATGCCGCGATATGAACAACGCTCAGTATATAAAGTGAAAATGTTTATTCAAGAAAGACTCCGTATATGTAATAAATATAAGTAAATAAGTAAAAAATTGTTCTTATTATTATTATTGTAAGAGCGCTAAAAATTCGTAAGACCTACCACATTATGTACGCCTATTTTTAATGTAAGAGTGCAAAAATTTCGTAAGACCTACCACGTTATGTACACCTATTATTTATTCCAAGTTGATAAGAAAGGGTCATTTAGAACATTAGGTCATAAGCCACTATACAAAGGAACAGTACAATATATGAGGGTCTGAATGGGAGGGTTTTCATTTCTGTAATCTTCATCTATTTTTACCATTTTTCTTTAATCTTTATCTATTTTTATCATTTTTCGTTAATTTTTTTTACCATTTTTCTTTAATCTTTATCTAATTTCAGCACCCAATTGTTCTATTTTCTTTATTTTTTTCCCTAATTTTCTCTTTTCTTCAATTTTCAACTATCCTGCACTTTTTGCCCTTTAGTCCCTCTTCGTTAAACCAAATCCGCGACCCCATATATTCTAACAAGTCTGATACGTCTGTCCGCGTCTTTTTTTTAATGATGAATGGTCATAAGAAACAAAAAACCTGTATAACCTGCTTTAGGGGCCAGCTGAAGGACGCCTCCGGTTGCGGGAGTTTCTCGCTGCATTGAAGACCCATTGGTGGCCTTCAGCTGTTGTCTGCTCTATGGTCGGGTTGTTGTCTCTTTGACACATTCCCAATTTCCATTCTCAATTTTAACCATAGTGTGTAAAACAGTATACTAAGTATCTGTTTTTTATATTCTATTGTTATATTTGAATGCATTCATTGTATTTAGTTTTAATATTTTTTAGAGGGCCACATGAAAGATTAGTTCGATGAAACACTGTGTAAAAGCATTACTTACTTACTTTCGTATACTTACTTATTCTTTCAAAAATAGGCTTTGTTCATTGTTGAAGGTCGTACGGTGAC